ATTTCCCTGCTCTAAATTATAAACACAGTTGAGGTCAAAGGAAAGAGGGTAAATGGCCAGGATTAGGAATGAACAGGGAATGTTAGCTCATAGAAGTAAATCTCAGGTGATAGAGCATCCAGGCAGGTACTGAAATTGGATTGTGACTTAAGAGGTCAGGAGCTGTAATCTTAATGCCTACAGAGGTTCAGGAGCTGCGCTTTAATACCATGTGAAACACGAAGCAAAGACAGAAACCTCACATGAAATAGATGCTCTCAAAGGAGATGCTCAGAGGACAGGAAAAAGATGCTGCTATCCATCCCAATCTGTAAGGGCAAGCTCTCCTTTACCATACACTCAATCCCAAAGCTTTTTCCACATGCAGACATAAAATCATACTTTCTCTATGTGGAAACTCCAGACTGAGAAGCTAACACAAAATTGATCTGGAATCATAGAATCCCACAACCCTTATTGATACAAAATACAATTGCAGCCGGGCGCTGGTGGCTCACGCCTGTAATCCTAGCTACTCAGGAGGCTGAGATCTGAGGATCGCGGTTCAAAGCCAGCCCGGGCAAGAGAGACCGTGAGACTCTTATCTCCAATAAACCACCAGAAAACCGGAAGTGGCGCTGTAGCTCAAGTGGTAGAGCGCTCGCCTTGAGCTGAAGAGCTGAGGGACAGCGCCCAGGCCCAGAGTTCAAGCCCCACGACCGACAAAAAAAAAAAAGAAATACATTTGCATCCATGAGCCAAAGCACACAGCACTTGCCTAAAAATGAACTTAGGACCCCAAAAGTTAGTCCATGGAGGAGAACTGGCAGACACAATAAATTGGAAAAAATAGTATCTCAGTGGAATGACAATGAATATGACTGAAATGAGTCTTGAGCCAAAGGAAGAAGTTGAAATAATAATGGGGGAAAAGAGACACTGTGGAAAAAGCACTAGCTGCAGTTCAACAACTAATAACTATATTCATTGAAACTGAAATCAGAAAAATAATATATTGAACACAGTTAATGAGGGAAAAAAAGGGAAGTAGAAAATCCTTGCACATCATTCATCTAAATCTCAACACTGAGAGAAAAGACATAAAAATGTGTGTGGGGGGGCGGCGAGGGGAGGCAAAGCAACATGGAGGCTCTCGAATGAATATCCAAAATGTATAGTCAATAGCAATTCTAGAATGTGAGAGGACTCCCATACAAAGACTGGAAAGAGGTCTATAATCTGATTGATGAATTAGACATTTCCAGAATTGAAGGAAGATGTAGAGCTTCTAGAAGAAAGAATGATACTGATTGGTCTCCCAAAATGAGAAGTAAAATAAATGCATATACAGATAATCATAAAAAGATATCTGTTGTTGACAGAGATGAAGGTGACAAGGCATAATGGGTGGGGGCGGGCATGCTATCTTTGAAGAGCTGAGAGAAAGGGATCTGTCAATCTAAATTGACAGATATTGCATATTCCTCCATGCATTGCTTTGGAAAAGGAAGGATAAGACAGGTACAGATAGACAGAATTTATTGCCATCATAGAAGAGTCTGAGAAGATATACTTCCACACAGGAGAAATGGAAAGCAGGAAGTAACAATGAGCAAGAAAATGGATGGATTTGAAGGGAATCAACATTCAGCAAAACCATTGACAATAAAGACTAGAGTAGAAATTTTAAAGGAAGTCAATACAAAATAAAAATTTCAAGTTTTGAGCGTTGTAAAAAAATGTGTTATTGTAACGATGATATAGAGGGGTTACAGTTATATCAGTCAGGTAGAGAGTACATGTCTTTTTGGACATATCATCCCTTCCCTCAAATTCTCCCAGTTTTTCCCTCCCATCTCACCCACAAATTATATAGTTCATTTTCTTTTTTAAAAATGATTTTATTTATTTATTGTGTGTTTATGTGATACCAAGGAATTAAACCTAGGGCCTCATCCACAATAGATAAGCACTCAGCCACTAAGCCACATTCCCAGCCCAGTATAGTTCATTTTCAACATAGTGCCCAGGGAGTACCATTACTGCATTTGTTCATCCTTTGTTCCTCCATTTCTGGGCCTCCCCTTCTACACTGTGAGACATAAATGAACATGCAGAACAAAAAGAGAAAGAAAACAAAAACAGCAAAAAAGAAAAAACCTCTTGTTTTAATTTTCTGGAATTAATTTTGATAAATATTATTTTGTATGATCAGATGCACATAGGTATTATGCTTTTCTGTTTCTCTCCTAAGAGTATCCTCCTTTGGTCTCACTCTGTGTGTGTGTGTGTGTGTGAGAGAGAGAGAGAGAGAGAGAGAGAAATTGTGTATTTCTCAGAATAAGACTAGAAGATGAGAGATTCTGTTTTCTTCACATCTATATTCCATTTCACCAATTCTTTATACTTTGTTGGACCAAGTATAACATTAAAAAATTAAAGGAAGCTGGGCACCAGTGGATCATGTCTGTAATCCTAGCTACTCAGGAGGCTGAGATCTGAGGATCACAGTTCAAAGCCAGCCCAGGCAGAAAAGTCCATGAGACTCTTATCTCCAATAAACCACTAGAAAACTGGAAGTGGCGCTGTGGCTCAAATGATAGAGTGCTCACCTTGAGCTGAAGAGTGCAGGGACAGCGCCCAAGCCCAGCGTTCAAGCCCCACAACCGACAAAAAAATATAAAATTAAATAAAATAAATTAATTAATTAAAGGCAATGTTAATGAATAGAAAGGGAGAACTGGGTCTGTGATTTGTGCCTCTAATCTCAGAAGATATCAGGAAGATCACATTTCAAGGCCAGTCTGGCAAAAAGGAAAGAGGAGGATAGCATAGAGTCCCAATATTTAATGCAAGGACACCGGCCCAATGACCTAACTTCCTCTACTTGGCTCTACCCATTAGAGAAGTCTAACTATTAGAAAATAGTGCCACAGACTAGTGATCAAGGCTTACACAGGTGTACCTTTGGGGAATACTTAAGATCCATAACATAACAGGAGGCTACTATGAAAGTAAAAAGAAAACTTATCATCTAGAGAATGTATTTGGGACTTATGTATCTGATTAAGGTTTGATTTTCATAGCATATTAAAAATAATTGTAACACAGAAAGAAGAGGATAAGGCGTAGACAAAGGATTTAAAGAAATATTTTTCCAAAGAAGATACACAGATGGCCAAAGAGAACATGATGTGATGTTTAACATCATTAGTTACAAGGGAAATGCAAATAAAAATCACAACTCCACATCCATTAGGAAGATGATGATAAAAAAAATTGACAATAACAACTATTGGCAAGGAACTTTGTAGTGCATTTCTGGTGAGGCTGTGAAATAGGGAAACTGCTGTGGAAAACAATCTGATAATTACCCAAAAGACTAAAACAAACTTACCATTTGACCTAGCAATATACCCAACCAATTTATGCTCACCAAAAAATATGTACATGAATGCTTGTAGTAGTTTTATTCATAGGAGCCACATAAAGGAGGAAACAAGCAGTTGAGGTCTGTCCATATAATGGAATATTATTCAGCTATCAAGTGGAACGAAGAACTGATTCATGATACAATACGAATGAACGTGAAAAAAAAAGAACAAGATGCCAAACGAAAGGATCCAGACACAGAATGTGTGGTGTAATTCCATTCATATGAATCTCCAGAATAGAAACACAGATCCATCAGAACAAAGCAGGTTACTGGTTTCCAGGCCCTGAAGGGAGAAACGGGGAGTGGTTGTTCATGGCTGTAGGTGCTCTTTTTTGAATGATGAACACACTGACAGTAAGGAAGTGGCTTTACTGTCCCAGGCCTGCACCAACTAGATAATTGCACGTCTCTGCGAATAGTCTAGAAACCACTGAATTGAATCCTATGTAAAGATAAATATTATGATTATAAATCACACCTCAGTTTTTTTTTTTTTTTTTTTTGTCGGTCGTGGGGCTTGAACTCTGGGCCTGGGCGCTGTCCCTCAGCTCTTCAGCTCAAGGCGAGCGCTCTACCACTTGAGCTACAGCACCACTTCCGATTTTCTGGTGGTTTCTTGGAGATAGGAGTCTCACGGTCTTTCCTGCCCGGGCTGGCTTTGTACCGCGATCCTCAGATCTCAGCCTCCTGAGTAGCTAGGATTACAAGCGTGAGCCACCAGCGCCCGGCCACACCTCAGTTTTTAACAAAAGGAAAAAAAGATATAAAGAAATCATAAGAATAAAAAGAGAAGTAAGTAGCTAGATAAATAAAGCTAATGAAGTAAACCCATGAAAATAATTTTAAAAGCTATTTTTCAGAAGCCTACCACTTGGACTCAAAACATTAAGCCTCTGTGTGATTTCACTACACCTAGATTCCAGATTTCTCTCTTTTAACTCTGATATTCTTCCCAGCTGGTGATACATAGCTGGTATAAAATATCAATGTATTGCCCAGGTTGGCCTTGAACTCAAGATTCTTCTGCCTCAGCCGCTGAAGCGCTAGGAGTACAATTATGAAGTTATGAACCACACACACAACCAGCTCCATTCCACTCTTAAAGGGTCAGATATTCCAAGAGACTGAAGTGCTGGGAGATTTTATGAGGCCCTGCTTTCCACAAGGTTCATCTTTCTAAGAATTTCTTTCTTTCTTCCAATATCCTGACTAAATTATTTCGGAACTGACAAAATTGGCAGTCTCAGCTTGCTCTTCTAAATGCTTTTGGCTCTGAGAAGAAAGTTCACCCCAACCTCTATCCACCACCACCACCCCATGGCTTAAAATTATCTGGGCCCACTTGATTCTGTGACCCCAAGGGGACTGTTTCAAAATCTCACAGAAACCAGATCCATCAGAGGCAGGTACACTTGTTACACTTTCTCATTACTATCCAGAAACTACCAGCCCTAGACAGGTAAAATGCCCCCTTTAGGGATTCAAGTTTTAGCGCCCCCTTCTGTACATTCATAGCAAATGCAGTTGTACACAATGTGGTCAGTGTACTCAGAGCAAAGAGTAACTGTGCCTGAATGTCTTGCAGATGACAAGGAGGAAACCATACTTCTACATAGCTCTGACACCTCCAAAGCGACAATCAAGACCTTCTCTGCCCGGGTCCGCAGAGCCACAACCTCGAGGACAGAGAGGATATGGCCTGGAGGGGTCATTCCGTATGTTATTGGAGGGAACTTCACAGGTCAGTATCCTAAGAAAGGCATATTTGGACTCCTGAGTATAAGTAGGAGAGACTTGGTGAGGCTGAGTAGATTACCCATGGGACCTGGCCCATCACATTCAGGGAAAGTGCTGTCCTTGTTGAGAATATGTCCTTAAAAAAAAAAAAAAAAAAAAGGGAGGGGGGCGCTGGGAAGGTGGCTCAGTAGTAGAGTGTTTGCCTTGCATGCATGAGGCCCTGGGTTCGATTCCTTAGTACCACATAAGCAGAAAAAGTCCGGAGTGGTGCTGTGGCTCAAGTGGTAGAGTGGTAGACTTGAGCTGAAGAGCTAAGGGACAGCACCCAGGCCCAGAGTTCAGGCCTCACAATCGACAAAAGAAAGAAAGAGTGAGGGAAAGAGAGAAAGAAAAATGGCAGGGTGCTGGTGGCTCACGCCTATAATCCTAGCTACTCAGGAGGCTGAGATCTAAGGATTGCAGTTCAAAGCTAGCTCAGACAGGAAAGTCTGTGGAACTCTTATCTCCAATTAACCACCAGAAAACCGGAAGTGGTGCTGTGGCTCAAGTGGTAGAGCAATTGCCTTGAGCTGAAGAGCTCAGGGATAGTGTCCAGGCCTAGAGTTCAAGCCCCATGAACACCACCACCAACACTAACAACAAAAAACCTTGGTCGTAAAGCTTCATTAGTGAGGAATATTATTCTTCTGGTCTTTTAATATATATATATATATATATATATATATATATATATATTTTTTTTTTTTTTTTTTTTTTTTTTTTTTAGCCGGGCACCAGTGGCTCATGCCTATAATCCTAGCTACTCAGGAAGCTGAGATCTGAGGCTCACAGTTCTAAGCCAGCTTGGTCAGGAAAGTCCATGAGACTCTTATCTTCAGTTCATCACAGAAAAAGCCAGAACTGGAGCTGTGGCTCAAGTAGTAGAGTGCTAGCCTTGAACAAAAAGAGCTCAGGGACAGTGCCCAGGTCCAGAATTCAAGCCCCAGTACTGGCAAAAAACAAAAACAAATATATATATATATATATATATATATATATATATATATATATAATTTTTAAGTAGTTATACAAAAGGGTTACCATTCAACACGTCAGTTTATAAATACAATGTATCCTTTATCATTTCCCCACCCCTCCCAACCTAACTTTCCCATTCAATTTTCCTAGTTTCATTGGATTTACAGTGAATATGATGATTGTATTGCGCCTCTTTCCTCTCTTCATTCAGCTGCCTCCTCCCTTTGACCCCCACACTGTCACATTTCAGGCACCAGCTTCTTGGTATTCACTTTGTTGGACTGTGAGTTCATTTTTCTAAGGAGTTACATCATCTGAATTCTCCCCTGCACATACCATATTTTGGTTAATACATTTGTGTACATTTGCATACAAGCCTGTATGTGTTTAGTTGCATACTTGTAAACTAGATCTTGAAGGACAGACAGGTTTACACGGTGAGTAAGTGAGGACTGTGAACAGAACAGCTGCATGGGATGGCTTGCCATCCTCTGCTCAACGAGGCACCCTAGGCTGACTGCCCTAGCCAGAGGGCATCAGTAGCCTGACTCCCCAGATCCCAATTCTAGCTCCACCCTGGCAAATGACTTAATTTCTTTGTTCCCTGATCCCTGTACTTTGAATGGGGGGGGGGGGATTATGTTTTCTACTTTATAGAGCTGTTTTGAGGACTTCTTTCCCAGCATCATTTATACCTTCTATAGCACTTACCCTGAGCCTAAAATCACTTGTATTTCTTTTACTTTTGTCTCTGCCCAAGCTCTGTGGGAGCAAGGATCTTCCCCTTCCCATCCACTTTCTCTTCTCTATGTCCAGCACTTTGGACAGGGCCTGGCACAGCCAAGCCCTCACACATCTGCCCACCCCAGGCCTGCAGCTAGGACTATGCTGGTTGAATGCTGGAATAAATAGGCATACCAACCAACTTCCCAACTTCTCTGTGCCCTTTGCAAGGCTTCACTTCCCTATGGCCCTGTGCCTCCACTGTAAAAGGGGATTGAGGAAGGCTGAGTCCTAATGACTCCCCACAACCACTGAGAACCACAGATAAATAAGTCGGACCTAGAACTATGTAGACAGAGAGAGGTGCCTGGAGTTTGGGAGTTCTGGGACCTGCCCAAGCTGGTCATTCATCTTTGCTTATGGCTTCCTAGTGCCAGAACCTTAATCAGGTGGTGCCATAAGATGGCTAAGAATTGACCCAGCTCTCTAGGAGTCCCAAAATATGCTTGCAGAGAAAAATACACACCCAAAGATTGGCATGTAGGGTAATGACTAGGGCAATTGATCTTAGTACCTTAACTGTGTTTTTTCAAGTCCGGTGTGTTCTTTTGACCAAAGACTTACATTACTTTTATCATAATTATTAATATACACACACGCACATATTAGAATTTCGTTTTTTGTAAGGATTTTCGTTATTCTGTAATTAGTAGAATTGCTATGTTGGTAAGTATGCTAGAAACAGTTTGGACTGGAAGTATTAAGGTATCTGAAAAAAGTAAACAGCTAAGTTATTCTCCATTCTGTGTATGTTGTGAGGGACAATGCGACACTACCCTCATATCTTCTGCACCATTGTGGGAGTTTCTTCCAGTACCTTTTTGTTTTCTAAGAAGGTATCTATTGGAAGTGGCACTGTGGCTCAAGTGGTAGAGCGCTCACCTTGAGCTGAAGAGTGCAGGGACAACGCCCAAGCCTAGAGTTCAAGCCCCATGACTGACAAAAAAAAAAGAAGTTATCTATTTACTTTTAATACTTTGAATGCAAACAGTTAATGCACTTATAATTAGCAAGTTTTCAAAAGCCATTGGAGCAAGCTTTGTCTCCTCTGCTACGACCTAGCCCCTGAGGATGGTATGACCCCAGGGGTGAAGTGACCAGCACTTGTTCTGTCTTCCAGGGAGCCAAAGGGCCATTTTCAAGCAGGCAATGAGACACTGGGAGAAGCACACCTGTGTGACCTTCATTGAGAGGACGGATGAAGAAAGCTTTATTGTGTTCAGCTACAGGACCTGTGGGTGAGTTCACATAAGTAAGGCCACCTAACCAGAGTCCCAGGCAACAGGTCAGAGGTCAAATGAGTCTTGAATTGTTTCTTTAACACTATGTATTTCCAGTGAGCTGTGCTCTATAGGAGTCCCGGGATTACCGTAAGCTCTTTGCCCTCTGTGAAATTACAGTCCCCATGGCAAAGCAGGTTGGTCAGAGCATGACTCCAAGCAGATTTGTTCCTAGAGAGTCCTGTCACCAGAACAGCAGAGGACAGTGCTTTATACAGAGAGAGATTTAGATCAGTGACTCTACTGAGGTTCTGATGGCAGATGAGGTCATTTCTCCTTCTAGAACCATGCACAGAAGGCTGGGAATAATGGCTCAAGCCTGTGATTCTAGGCAGAGATGAGTGATTATGGTTCAAGGCCAACTCAGGGCAAAAGAAGTTCAAGAGACTATCTCAGTAAATGGCTGGGTGTGGTGACACATGCACGTTATCACAGCTACAGGAGGAGAACAATGGCCATGTGCAGTAGTGCACACCTGTTATCCCCAACAAAGTGGACAGGGAGCACATGTAGGAAGATTGTAGCCCACACCTGCTTGGACATAAAGTGAGATCCTACCTTGAAAATAACCAATGGAAAAGAGAGGTAGGCATGACTCAAGCAGCACAGTGCCTGTCCAGCAAGTGTGAAGACCTTATTTTAATACTCAGTGTTGCTCCCCCCCAAAGAATACACACACACACACACACACACACACACACATAAATGCACACAAAATTCTGCAAACAAGCAAGTACTAACAATGCTAGATTATAATTTTATTTACAGATGAATCTTTGTTTTGTTTATTTAAAAATTTATTGTTGTTGTGAAGGTATTGTACAGAGGGCTTACAATGACATACGTCAGGTAAAGAGTACATTTCTTTTTGGACAATGTCACCCCCTTCCCTTGCTCTCTCCTGGGTTTTGCATCCTGTTCCTACCCACAAGTTCTAAAGGTCATTTTCAACAGTATCCAGTGAGTACCATTGCTATACTTGTTCACCCTTTGTCCCTCCATTTCTGGGTCTCCCCTTTTATTCTCAAAGACATATAAATGAACAAACAGGACAAAAAGAAAAGAGAAACAGCAAAAAAAAAAAAGAAAGAAAGAAAACCTTGTTTCCATTTTTTTTTCTTTGAACTGCTTTTGCAGTGCTAGGGACAGAACCTAAGGCCTTGAAAATTCCAGACAAGCACTTGATCACTGCTATACAGCCAGCCCTACTTCTGTTTTAAAGGTCAGAAAAGAGCAGGACAGTTTATAATGAGAAAGCATACAGGCTATGGTGAGAATGTAACTGGCAGAAGTATTTATGCACCAAATAATATGGCATCAAAATCATAAAACAAACCTAGGAATTTCAAGGGGATATGGACAGAAACATTGGCAGGGAGATATTTGTTTCATTTCTGTCAATCCAAGAAGACGGCACCAAGCTGGCTAAAAAAATAAGCAGATACTTTTAGAGGGTTTGGACTATGATTACTATAGTTTAATTCTGTAGGTCTATCAGATTGATAGCAGTTTTTAACTACCTACAAAAGCTTATAGACCTCGTCCCTCTATTAGGCATTAAGGACATCCCCAAAAGCTGGAACTGGGGGTGTGGATCAAGGGGTAATGTGCTAACCTTGAGCAGAAAAACATTAAGAGAGAGCTCAAGTCCCTGAGTTCAAGTACAGACACCAAAAAAAGGGCATCTGGTGCTTCAACATGTATTTTCTGTTATTAAAAAAAGTCACCAAGGTAGCACAGGAATAGATGAGAATTATTTTTAAAATAAGTGTATTTTCATATATATATATATTCAAACCAAAAGTCAATATCATCTTTGTTGATGCTAATTCTAGAAGCATTTCTGTTAGAATCAGAAGTTAAAGATGTTTGTGGTTACCACAGTTATTTAATATTGTTTTGGAAACACTACTATAATTAGACAGAAGAATGAAATAAACACATGAATATTGGCAGGAGTAAGACAAAGTTTTCATTATTGAAAATTAATGTGACTATGTGCCCAGGAAACCTAGAAAATCAATTGAAAAATAATTAGAAACCCAGAGACTCTACTAAGATACCTGATCACAAAATAGATAAGCGGTTCTTTATTCATGAAATAGGTTGCTTTTTCTTCTGGTGCTTGTAATGGGACTGGAACTTAGGACCTCATGCTCTTGCTTGACTTTTTTTGCTCAAAGCTGGCACTCTACCAATTGAGCAACATCTCAAGCTTCTGACTTGTTTGCTGGTTAATTGGAGATAAGAACCTCATAGGCTTTTCTGCCTAGTTTGGTTTTTAACTGTGATCCTCAGATCTCAATCTCTTGAGTAGGATTAGAAGTGTGAGCCCGGCAGGTTGATATATATATAGTTTTTATGATGGGGAAAGTACAACTTTTTATCTTGACCAAAATTTCAAAGCAAATATCTTTTTATACATTTATGGCATTGCTGAAGACAGAAATTCCACCTGTCTCTTGTCCTTAGAGATGTCCTAGCCCTTCACCCCAGCACTCTAGGTGTGGTCTTATTCTAGGGAGGGAGGCTATTTCTTTCTTCATTTCCTTCCTTCCTTCCTTCCTTCCCTCCCTCTTTCCCTCCCCGCCTCCCTCTCTCCTTCCCTCCCTTTCTCTCGCTCTTTCCCTTCCTCCCTCTCTCCCTCCCTCCCTTCTTCCCTCCCTATTCTCCTCCCCCTCCCTCCTCCTTCTCCTCCTCCTCCTTTTGTAATGGTACTGGGGCATGAACTCACAGCCCCACACTCTCATTTGCTTTTATTCTCAAGGCTGGTGCTCTACCACTAGAGCTATCCTCCAATTCCAGATTTTTACTGGTAGTTGGAACTGAGAGTCTCTTGGATTTCTCTACTTGAGCTGGCTTAGATCTCAACCTCCTGAGGAGTTAGGATTATAGGTGTGAGCCACCAGTGTCCAGCCATTTCTTTCTTCTGATTCTCAAGAGCATCTGTGACCACCAGAGACTGCAGTGCATTTTTGGAGGGAATTTCTGTAGTGGGTGGAATGTTGCACTCTGAGATCTCGTCTACTGCTGATGAGCTGTATTTCTTTGACACACTTTACGCAGAGGGCAGGGTGAGTGAAAAGATTTGCTTCTTGCACTGGATATCCCCTGCCCTGCTGACCTGAGTATTCTATATTTTCCAGCTGTTGCTCTTATGTTGGGCGCCGAGGAGGGGGTCCACAGGCCATATCCATTGGGAAAAACTGTGACAAGTTTGGCATTGTGGCTCATGAGCTGGGCCATGTGGTTGGGTTCTGGCATGAACATACCCGGCCCGACAGAGACCAACATGTCACCATCATGAGGGAAAACATCCAGCCAGGTAAGGAGGACTATATAGAGTCTGAAGGCAACAGCCACAGGGACATGAAGGAGTGAAAGAGAGGGCCTGCTGGGAACTGACCAAAGCTGCTAGTTAAATGTTGGAGGCAGCAACTTGACTTTGCAGGTGTGTGTCCCAGTATGGTCACTGTCTACCTGTGGCCTTCCTGGGAAGACATCTTCCCAGTTAAAGCTTGTAGGTTAGAGCAGAGGCAAAATAATGATTTTCTGAGTTGGAAAGGACAAGGAAACCCAGTCCCATTTCCAGAATGGAACAGAATTGGCCAGAATGCAGTAGCAGCGCTAGAACTGATCAGCGCTCCCCAAAAGAGGAATTCTCCTGGCATCTCTCACGAGGCGTTTTTGCTGACTCTGGCAACACATCTTTTTGAAACTGCAGTGTGGTTATGAATCCCTATAAATGCAGCCTTTCTGCCTGGTAGTATTCTTCCCCAAGGCGGATAGCATGTCTAAATGTAAAATAAAATCTTATATTAGATCGCTTGGTATAAAACTAGATATTCAACATGAAAAGAGCTACTCGAGTTATATGATTGCTTTTGGAGAATCTAAACTGGGAAATATTTGCCACTGAATTTAGCTCTAATCATTTTCTTTTCTTTCTCTAAATTGCAAAGTCAGATTTTACCTTTTTAGTACTGGGGATTGATCTCAGGGCCCCTTGAGGCCCTCCCCCCCCCCCCCCCCGTCCTGGTTTTTGACAAAATGTTTTATTTGTAGACAAGCAGAGTGCTGACCAGAGTGCCAACAGAGATGAAGAATTTTGAGGGGCATTTGAGGAAAAGGTGCTGGGTAGTAGGACTGAGAGAACACAAGACTTACCTATGTTTTGAATTTCTGATCTATTGAAAAACAAAATGAAACAAAATACCAGAAGACCCTCAGGCCCTGGTGTCTGAGCAGTTTGGCTATAGGAGCTGTAGGAAGTTCTTTTGGGCCCTCCTCCCTCCTCTACCTCCTTATAGGTGCTGCCTTGGGTTTTCAAAGGCCTTAACAGAGTGTTGTGTCACAGGTCAGGAGTATAATTTCTTAAAAATGGAAGCCGGGGAAGTGAGCTCTCTGGGTGAGACGTACGACTTCGACAGCATCATGCACTACGCCCGGAATACCTTCTCAAGGTCGGAACCTTCACTTGGGCCATCTGTGTTTTATTGTGCCTGTGTAGGCTTGGGTTGGATTCCTGAGGTCTGCCGAGAGCTAGCCGATCTCTGCATGCTCCTAGTACGGCTGGCCTGTCTGTCCTTGAAATACAGTGGCCTCTGGGCTGCAGTGAAATATAATCTAATCAGGCTCCTGCTAATAAGATTGAATCCCAATGTGAAGCTGGCGTTCTATCATATCCTAATGTCACAAGCAGCAAACTGGAAAGGGGAGACTGTGGAGAGGTCGGCTGGAACAATAGCCCTGGGGCTTGTATAAAATTTCTAGTGAGTGGGGGCATCTTCAAAGCACATCCTTGTATAACAGGGAGGCCTCCCATTCTCCTAGATGGGGGTTGGTTTATTAGAAGCCTTGTCAGAGATGGAGAGATATAAATTACTGACTCATTCCAAAAGGAAAGGAAAAAGCTTAAGGGAGCGTAGGTAGCTGGGATCAGACTGAGAAAGAGGTCCTGGATCGTATGCCTGCAGGTCACAAGTGATAATAGTTCCTAGCCAACTAGTCAGAACCAGCTATTTAAGACTGGCACCAACAGGATCTGTTCTCGAGAGCTGGAGGGATGTGCTGTGCTGTACAGATATTTAGTGTTCACTGTTTTGCCCCTGCTTGTAGGTCACATGCATGTTCAGTGTGTAGAAATGTTTCCCAACTAGTTCCCATTTTTTTTAGTTTTCTCACCCTTACTTAAGGGAGGCACACAGTGCAAATGTTTTTCCTTGCTTGGCTTTCTTTCCAGTCTCCTCTTAAAACTAGCTGTTTGTGTCAGGTACTGGCAACTCACATCAGTAAACTTAGCTACTCAGGATGCTGAGATCTGAGGATCCCAGTTCAAACTGCCCAGAATGGGCAGTTAAATCCATACTATTCTTTATTTCCAGCTACCCAGCAAAAAGCTGAAAATGGAGGTATGGCTCACATAGTAGAACACCATCATGAGTGAAAAAAGCCAAGGGAATGCACAAGGCCCTCAGTTCAAGCCCCAGTATCAGAGCAACAACAAAAACCAAACCCAAACCAAAAAACTAGCTGCTTGTGTATTTCATCATTTCCCTAAGGAGGTATAAGGTGATTTCCAGAACCTACCCAGTACAGCAAGGGAAAAAACAAAAACAGGTGAAAACACTAGGGAGAAAGAGAGCGAAAAGTAGTAGCAGAAAGCTTTGTGTAAGTCTGTGATAAATTCATATGTGCTTTCTTGAGGATGGCAGCAAATCCTGCCCTGTGCTTCCTACAATCCCAGCAAAGAAAAATACCCCGTTGCTTGAGTCTCCATGTACATAATGATTAAAGTGAACCACTGGCTCAGACATCAGCTCCCTGAACCCAAAGGGACACTAGTCTCCAAAGGTCCTTTGTTCTTGAGTAGAGAGTGACCATAAGCATCCTCCTGATGGGGTGATAGGATTGTTAGATCTCAGCATCCAGTTCTCTCAGGATGCTGTTCCTCTAGCCACAAGCTGGTTCAGTGCTGACATTAGTTCCTGCCAAGTGGCGATTCCCATGACTCTTAACAGAAGAGTTTTGTCCAGGTTGGTATTATCAGCCACACCTACCCTGGATTCTTTACTTTTCTCCTAGATCTTTCTGAAGTGCATCAAGGGGCATCTTGGTGAAACATGGAAATCACTGATGCCAGAGTAGGATGGCTGGGCTGCAGCCCCAATTCTCCATGAACAGTTAGCTATGTAATTGGCTACAGTGTCTCTCCTCACATTCATGAGCCTCAGTCTCCCCATTTAAAGGCTGAACCAGGTGTTCTCTGAGCATCTTTCAGTTCTAGCCTTCCTGTTGCAGCGGGAGAGAGGATGACAGATATGGTCTTATTCATTGCCAAACAGGAACCCAGAAGCTGGCAAGGCACCCTCTTCCAGACTCTGAGACTTTGTAGGGGAAGACCCAGAAAAAGCAATGGAGTGGGAAGGATGAGAGATCACCCCACAAATGTCAGAAATAAATGTGTGAGTGTTGGGACTTGACTGACCTCCCCCACCCTTACCCCAGTTTAAGATATGCCATGGGGAATAGCCAAATATTACTTCTTCTCCCAGTAGCTTCAAGATGGTACATAGAAGCAAAGTATTCATTTTGTTAGGAATGAATATCAAGTTGGCCCAGTTGAGTAGCTTAGGTCTTATTCTGTAGCTGTCATCACTCTTCAGATTGCTTTATAATTTATTTCTTCATTATTGTTAATTTGTTAAGTGTGTGTGTGTGTGTGTGTGTGTGTGTGTGTGTGTGTGTGTGTGGTGTGCATGCACGCACAGGTCCTGGGGCTTGGACTCAGGGCCTAGGTGCTGTCCTTGAGTTTTTTTTGCTTCCATTTGAACCACAGCTCCATTTCTGGCTTTTTTGGTAGTTAATTAGAGATAAGTCTTATGGACTTTCCTGCCTAGTCTGGCTTTGGGCTAGGATCCTCAGATCCCAACCTCCTGAAGATAGGATTACAGATGTGAACCACCAGTGCCCCAACTAACCTATTAATTTTTATCTCCTGCATTGTTCTCTCCTTCTCTAGACTGAGAACCCTGGGCACAGAGACTATCTCATTCTCTTCTATTCCTCAGCACCCACTAGGGTGCCTGGCACATAGTAGGTATTCAATAGATATTTGTTAAGTTTGTACATTAATGAGTGAGTTCAGAGGGTCCTAGGAGAGCTGTGGTACTGATGAGAGAAGGAATCTTTATTGTTCTCATTGCTAGTCTTCTGTTCATCCACAAATGCGGTGGTCACTTCACTAGGGCCCCTCTTTTTTTCCCCAAATTCTTTATTGTGATTAAGTGATTACATAATTTCCCAAATTTCACAGTATTGTGGGATAGTGATGTTTAGTTAAAGTCACAAACACCCTCTAACTTTCATGGGGCAAATTGTTTATCATGGTCTGTAACGTTTATGAGTTCTATAAACTTTGCGATAGTGATTTCTTCCACATTGGGTGATGTGTCCATTTCTTTTGTTTTGCATAGCATCAGCTGTTCCCTCTTTCCCACTTGTTCCCTCCCTCCCATTGCTGCCATTGAGTTGCTTAGTTCATTTTGATCAATGTCCAGTGCAGCTGATGGGTCCTGCTGTTGTACGTTTTTCCCTGATTCCCTCTAGTTCTGTGTCGTTCTCCTGGTTTCCCTCCAGTGTGCACATATATACCATATATGTGATCAGCAGCATGGGAGTTATTTAGTAGTGATTCAACCAGATGAGTGGAAGTCCTTTGTTTCTTAAGCCTTGTTAACTTTGTCGTATCACCTTACATTTTGGATTTAACATCCACTTATCAGGGAGACCATGTGCCGTTTGTCTCTTTGCTCTTGGCTTACCTCACTCAAGATGATTTCTTCTACTTCCACCCATTTCTCTGCAAATGCCATTATTTTGTCCTTTCTAATGGCTGCATTAGAATATTCCATTGTGTATAGATATCACAATTTTTGGATCCAATTATCTGTGGTGGGGCATCTAGGTTGTTTCCATATCCTAGCTATTGCGAACAGTGCTGCAATAAACATGGAGGTGCACATGTCCTTGTATACTGGTTCCTGTTGTTCAGGATAGATGCCTAGACGTGGTATGGCTGAGTCATAGGGGAGGTCAATATTTAGCTTTCTGAGGACCCTGCAGACTGCTTTCCAAAGTGGTTGTATAAGAGTACATTACCACCAGCAGTGTAATAGGGTTCCTCTTTCTCTGCATCACTGGAGCCCTTCTTTAAGTCTGTCGTACATAGAGACTGGAAGAAGGGCACAGCCTTGTTTATGTCTGCTATATGCCAACTGTGGCCTAGAACTCAGAGCAGAAGCCAGCATTTTCCTTTCTTGTCTTTCTTTAAATATCTATTTTGTTCCAAGATCTCTGTTTTATAATCTCATCCCCTTTGCCCCCAGATAATAACCATTTCTAAGGCTGTTGTCAGAGTGAATGATTTTATCAGCACTGAGCAGAGGAACTCCTTGGGCCAAACGCATGAAATAATCATTCCTCCTCCCAAGAACCTAGAATCTCCAGGAAGAGGTTGGCCAGGGCTCAGCACCTGGGTGTGATGGGCAGCTAGAAGCAGAGCACTTCCCCCTGAGGTAGATTTCTCTTGCTACTGCTTCCTGCCAAACCTGGTGCCTTCATTCAAACAGCAGATTCTTCTTTTTCTTTGAGCTAGAAAGCTATTTCGGATCCTTACTGGTGAACTTTCCTGACATTTTGTCAAAAGTCTTTCTGTTCCTTGACTCCAGGTTATTACTGTGGTCACATATCTTCTGGGCTGGGCTGTCCGTGTCTTTGCTTCTCTAAAAGCACAACCAATAAAAGCCTGCAGAACATAGGGTCATCTGTGGACAAAGCTTTTCCTGCTGCTGAGGATCCCCTCTCCATGTCCCTTTACAATGGAGCTGTCTCCTTCCAACTCTGTTCCCTCTGGTTTATTGCAGTTCCTCCCTCCTTCCCTTTGTCAGACCCAGGCTGAGGAAGAGTGGCATCTTTGGAGGTTTTGTCGGGCACAGATCCAAGCAATGAGGAGACAGTTCCCTAGTACAGGAGTATCTTTGTTTGGAGAACTCAGAGCTGACTGTTTTATTGCCTCAAGCATCTAACAGCTCACTTTCAGCTCAGCAATAGAATGTCAATGCCAGGAGCTGGCCATTCTAGAATCAATGTACCTAGGGATGGCTCTTGTAGACAGTTCAGAGCTCAGCTCCTTGCTAGCAGCTCAGGAATGTGCTGGGATGCCCCAGCTCCAAAGACTTGAGTGTGAGCCAATGCTATATCTGCTGCTTTGGCTGCAATGCCTTCAGTGTTCTTAGTGATGTCATTTAATGCACAGCAAGGCACATCCTTGAGCAGTGGGAAACTGGTTGGAAGGAGCAAGATGCCCAAAGGTAGGCTTCGGGCCTGTCTGTGTTCAAGGGCTGGCACTCTGTTCCTGCTCTGTCTTCTAAGCCGGTCACTTCAGACCTATGGGCTCTGTTTTCTCACTTACAAAAAGGACACTTGCAGCATCTATGATGGACTTGCCTCCCAGGGTGTTATATTACACGTAAAGTGCCCAACTGTGGGCCTGGCACACAGGAAATTCCTGAGAATGGTACAGGGAGCATGGTCTCCTCAACCCAGGCCTGCTGTTAGCTTGGGCTGCTTAGAAAATGCGGTGATTCATAGGTGTGTAGTATAAAATTCCTTTTCAGGGTTATAATTACAAGCATAGCACAACTGGGTGCCAGTGACTCATGTCTATAATCCTAGGTACTCAGGAGGCTGAGATCTGATCATTGTGTTTTGAAGCCAGCCCAGGTAGGAAAACCCATGGGACAAAAAGAAAAAGCTGGAAGTGGAGCTGTAGCTCAAGTGGTAGAATGCTCTCTGAGTTCAAGCCCCAGTGTACACACACACACACACACACACACACACACACACACACACACACATACGGAATGCCTAGATGATACAGTGGGCAGGACCTGACTCCTAGATCCAAGAAGAGAGTATGAGAAAGAGAAGGGAGTTGGAAGGCCCTTCAGATTCAGCCACAGGAGACAAGGGTTAGGGGATGAGAAGAATGAAACAAATTTTGTTGCAAGCCAGATTTGATGTTGGATATCAAGTCTCTAGGATAGCTTGAGCATCAGGAGATATAGCAGTGGGTTCCGGACTGGAAACAGACTGTGGGCCCATAGATGATGATTAAAACCCACAGTGATGGGTAGAGCATGGAGAGAGAACACTGGGAGGGGCAGAAACCCAAGAAACATCATCTAAGCACAAGTGATTCCTGTCTCTCAGCTCAGAGAGACAGGCAGTGCCCTCAGAACCAGGAAAAGAGAGTAAGGAGATGATCGGGGTAACAGGGTCGAGGGTTGTAAGACAGGCCAAGACTGAGAAGTGCTCTTTGGTAGGCAAGTAGAGACCATCACTGACATAGTCAGATTGCAGTTGGGATAAGGAGTGAATGAGAGGAGAGCATCAAACAGCAATGGACACAGTTCTTTCCAGAAATTGGTTGGTTGTGCAAGAAAGAAATCGAGTGACTCTTGGAGAAGGAACAGGTTTGTGGAAAGGCTTAGCTTCCAGGCCAGGCCCAGGTAGTGTGCTGGTAGAGCAGAAGGCTCCAAGGTGTCAGCAGACCAGGCCAGGAGAAGGCAGACCACACAGGGAGACATGGATAGGACCAGTGGTCAGCCAGGCATCCCACTGTCCACTTGTGTTTTGGAAATAAAGATATTAAGGCTAGGTGGAGCCACCACAACGTCCAGAGTCAGCTCTTATTGTATAGAGAAGTAGACTGAAGCTCAGAAAGACTCAGTGAGGGAAGGTGCTTGCCAGCTCATCGAGGTGGTGGAGCCAGGCCTGATAGAGATCTTTATAGCTCCAGACCTTTTCAATGACTACTTCTTCTCTATGTTTATTTCACTATCCATCAGCTCAGCCCTCTGGCCAACAAGACCCCCTCAAACTTTGATTCACCAACCATCCACATGGACTTGCTACCCATCTCCTCAGAGCCTTGTACTGGCCCAGTCCCCGGGCTTTTGCTGAGGCATTGCTCCAAGCACAACTCCACAGGGTGTCACTCACATGGTGATCTCACTCTCTGCACTGTGCAGCTTGGCGGTAGGAGCTGGTGCTTGTCAGAGGCTTTGTGGAAGAGCTTAGTTCATATTGGTAAGGCAGCTTCCAGGCTAGTGGGCTGGGGCATAGTTTTCAACTTGGTGGTCACCTTCCATTGGGAAGCAAGGAGGCAGCTGAGGAAATGGGATGCTATCGGGGGAAGGAACCCCCTCCCATCATGTTCGGGGCAGGAATGCTGATGGGTTAGAGGCAAGGAAATGAAGACTAATTCCCAGCAAGCACAGCAACTTTGACTTTTCTTCCTCTCTCTCTCTCTCTTTCTCTCTTTCTCTCTCTTTTCCTGTAGGGGAGTTTTCTTAGACACCATCCTCCCCCGTCGAGATGACAATGGCGTCAGGCCAACCATTGGCCAGCGGGTTCGGCTCAGTCAGGGAGACATAGCACAAGCGAGGAAGCTGTACAAATGCCCAGGTAACTGTGGGCCATGAGAGTCTCAACGCACTAGCATCTCACGGAACGTATCTCAGACTGTTTGCAAACAGTCCCTTTTGCTGGGAAAATAACTTGGGGGACATAAAGGGACTACTCTTTGGCAGCTGTGATGTTTTGTGTCCCATTAGGAGGTGTGAGACAGTGCAGAAAGCCAAAATGATTAGGAGAATAATAGGTCTCAGAGCCCATAGCTAGACTTGTGGGAGGCTCCAGACTTTTCTGGCAAAGCCCTGGGTGCAGGGGGAGGAGGCAGGCTGAACACAGGCATTCAGAGCAACGTGATCCATCACGGTATGAGTTCCTTTCCTTTCTGTAGGACTAGGGGGATGTGGGTTTGGCAAGAAAAGAACCAAGTGAGACCTGGCAGGAAGACAAAGAAAGAGGGGAATACTTTGGGACGAAGAGGGGTCAGGTTCCCAGATGCTACAGATAGAGGAAGTTTTAGTGCTTTAAACGAATTGTTCTCTAAAGTCTCAGGGTCAGTGACTAGCAGTCTGCCATTAAAGACTGGGCTGTACCCTGGGGTTGGAGCACCGGCCTGTCTCTGGACCAGTTCAGCAGTCCCTTTCCTTCAAATTGTCCATCTTTGCCTTTGGTTCCCATGCCTTCTCCACGATCTTATAGCCACCACTCTCTGGGGGGCAAATGCTCCAAGTCTGCTGTCAAGTGCTGGTTTTTACTACTGAAGGGTCAGAAAGCACTTCCAGGGTTTGGGAAGGACAGAAGAAAGTTCCATTATCAATAGCTCTACTAGCCTTTTCCAGTTTGATCATGGGCTGGAATATTTTGAAATGAAGACCCTCAGAGAAAATCTGGGCTGCTAGCAGCACAGCCCTGGAGCTTACAAAGTACTCTGTGGAGCGTGCATCCTCATGGAACTAGCAAATATGTCCACCCAGCTATTAGTCATCAGGGTACATTAGGGCTGGAATACAGGACAAACATATCATGTAACCTTGCTGAATTTAAAGGGAAACCTTATAGCATTCCCTGGGAAATGCCATAGTATTTATTTAGTTTTAATGTATACGCTGCTTATTTCCCAGAAGGGTCTGAGGCAGCTGGTAAATACCACGGAGCCACACAGTAATGTATCTGTTCTTGTAGAATGTTGATGATTATTCTAAAATAATTTCCATGGAGCCCTCGGGGGTGTTGACTGCGGGAATAATCCTCATGAAGCCTGGCAGTTGTTGGGTAATGTGATACTGAAGCCCCGAGATCCAGGATTTCCTGAGGCCAGTGATGGGCAGCTCTCCACATACCCCCTCGTTCAGCTCCAAAGGCTGCCAAGCTGCAAGTAGTCTCAAGTAGGAACTGAAAGCTATAGGGCCCTTGGCACTCCGAGGTAGAAGCCCACATAGGAGGAGATGCTTAAGGATGCTTGTTCCCCACACTTTGGGGTGGGCCCCATTAAAGGAGGGGTGGCACCCTTTCTTTGTCTTTGTCTTAGAATCTGAAGCCCTTGGGCTCAAGGAAATATGAAACCTGTAACTCCCCAAAGTACAGGTATTTCCCCTCCCCTCCTTTTAAAAATTAAGTGGTTGTATAAAGGGATTTCAACTCCATGAGTCAAGTTATAAATACAAGCATCTTGATCATTGTCATCCTTCCATCGTTTAGCTATCCGTTTTTATTCTTATTTTTTAGGTAAGCAGAATTAAGTTTATTTGAAAGTGAAAGGAAAGCCAGGAGAGTTACTTTCTGTTTGTATCTTATTGTTTTGTTTTTTAAAGATAAATGAGGAGTAGATATTCCCACACATTTTCTATGCTCAAGGCCTATCATAGGTAACCTTCAAATATGTAAAGGCGGAATATCATACTATGGAATATTCTAGCTTCCTGGCTTCTGCCTTTGTCTTTGTTTTCTTGACTGGTAGTTCTTTCAGAAAAAATTTTCCCCACAGTGGGTGGGGGTGAGTAAAGATTCGAATCAGCAGCTGAAATGAGAGTTAGGCTGCCTGTTGGTAGCTCAAGCCTGTAATCCTAGCTACTCAGTAGGCTGAGATCTGAGGATTGTAGTTCAAAGCCACTCCAGGCAAGAAAGCCTATGAGACTCTTGCCTCCAATTAACCATGAAAAAAGCTGGAAGTGGTGATGTGGTTCAAATGGTAGAGGGCCAGCCAGTTTTAAATGAAAAAGTTAGAGTGCCTGAGTCCTGACAGTAGCCAGACCTGAGTCCAAGTTCCAGTACTGGCACAAAAAGAAGTAAGAGAGGGACCAGTGGGTTGGGAAGGAAGGAAGGAAAAAAAGAAAGAAAGAAAGAAGGAAGGAAGGAAGGAAGGAAGGAAAGGAAGGAAGGAAAGGAAGGAATTTCAACATGGTTTGGTTTGGTTTGGTTTGCCTTGGTTTTTCCTCACTGACCTGCCTTCGGTGTTCTTACTGTGATCAGTCGCTGTTGTTATTAGTAATCATAAAGGCTGCATTGAGCGTATCTGCATTATCCAATTCAGGTGGCTCCACTCACCCTCTAGGCCCTTAGTTGGCTCTACCTGTTTCTCAGAGAAGCAGACTAACACCCAGCACATGTCACAGAACCAGCCATGAGCTGAGCTCCAAACCCAGCCCAGGCTTTGAGATCCAAGACTTCTGCAGAACCTGGGAGTGTTGATGTTACTTTCACTTGTGCTAGCCAGGAAAACATCCACCTGCGTGGCTCACTTCTCGCCAGCCATTCTGAGGTTGACCCAGCAGCCCAGGGCGAGGGGCAGGGGCAGGGGCAGTTCAGGAAGGGATCAAGTGCACGTGCCGGTATCACAGTTGTTCTTTTGTTTGTGCAGCATGTGGAGAGACCCTGCAAGACACAACAGGAAATTTTTCAGCACCTGGTTTCCCAAATGGCTACCCTTCTTACTCCCACTGTGTCTGGAGGGTCTCAGTCACTCCTGGAGAGAAGGTAGGTGGGCACATTAACTGCTCAGACTTGCATGGAGTATGCACAGATGGAGACCCTGAAGATACAAAATTAAATAACAATAATGAATGATTTTTATAAAGGTAAATGGGAACCCCTCTGGGAAATTCATAATTTCTGTGCCTCTCAATCAGTCTCATCCATATAAATAGAGGCCTGGTATGTACTAAATGAGCATGTAAGTTATGAATCATGTGAACCATTTGTAAGGTAGAGTGAACACCATCCACCTACTTTGATATGTGTACCAGGTCCTGGAGGGCAGGTCCAACTTAGAATTTATTGACACCTTGAGAGCACTGCTCTTCCAGGTGGCCTGCCATTCCCCAGCCTCCATATCCCTATCTGGGACTCTAGGAGGGCTTGGGTTGACACCCAAGCCACACTCCTGAACATTCATTCCTATCTTGCAAGCAGATGTTGCTTGCCTGTCCTCCAGCAGAGGTAGGCTGGCCAGGTGTGCATCTACCCTCTTGAGATTGGATCCAGGGTAAAGACTTGTGTGTGCTCTTCAAGTGGGCTCAGAGTTATTTGGAGTTATTTTTTTTTAATTTAATTTAATTTTATTTGTGAACATACTGTACAGAGGGGTTACAATTACATGGGCAGGATAATGCGTGCATTTCTTACCAAGCATTGCAGCCTCCTCCTTTGTTTACCCTTCACATCCCTTCCCAGCCTCCCCCCTCCCCCCCCCCAATCCCAATCCTTCTCCTTCCCCCCCCCCCCCCGACGTTGTAAAGCTCATTTTGGACATGACAACTTGTACTTCTCATTGTTGCAACAGGTCCACCTGTATCCTTAAACAACTGGTTTTTCCCCATCTCCTCCACAAGTTATACTGACATCAAATATAGTGAAAGCAGGGGTTATACTATGGAGGAGGGACATACTTGAGTGAAGTCCAAGGGCCAGGGAAGCTCTGTATCACCATGCTCCTTTGGCCTTGAAGATTCAATGGTGCTCTAGAGCAGCTTGGGCCAGGATGTCTTAGTCCTGATGCAGGGGTGGCACATTCTCAACCCCAATTCAAAATGTATGCTCATATACATTCTGTGCATGAGGCTCTGACATTGAGAATATTGCCCAATTTTGTCACAAGATGGAGAACTTAGAATGGGGAATCTGGGCTTTGTACTCCTACATAGATCTTTTTGCTATGTGCATCTGCAACTCCAAGTGTTCTCAAGCTGTGTCAAATGATATGCAGCTATCGTTCAGAAACTGTCTTTCGCTTGGGTCTAGGCAAGACCAGAGCTCTTTACAATCGTACCTTTGCAGCATATCTCAGTGTCTACTGGTGTGTTTCTCCATCTTCTAATGCTTAAACTCACTAAGAACAGAGATTGTTCCCCCTCAGCCCCAGCACCCCACATGGTCCATGGCACAGCACAGTGACCCAATGAGCATTTCTGAATGGAGATGTGGATGTAAGAAGGTCAAGTGATACACAGCAGGTGCTGTAGTCACTGCCAGGTATTCCTAGTTGATAACTTAAAAACCATGTCCATCTAAGTGTCATTAAGCCCAGTGTGGTAACTAGAGGGAAATGGCTTGGAATAATTGTGAGCCTTTTCTGAGGACTTGGTTCTATCTTCAGTGTAGAAGCACAGATCATCGGATTTAATCCTCACACTGGTCTCATGTGCAGACCATACTGCTGCCATACTCATTTAGTAGCAAGAAAACAGACTTGCTAGGGGCTACGAAAGTTCATTGCAGAGTTGGGACTTGAACCTAGGCAATTGAGAACCTAATGGCTTGAATAGATCATGATCTTACATTACTGCACAGAGGGGAGCAGCTAGTAGATAGATGTTCGCTTATAATTTTCACATACACATCTACATGTACACACACACACACACACACACACACACACACACATTTTCTTACTCCATTTCTTTGGCTGTAAGCATTTAAGACAGTGTGGTTTTTGATTTAAGACTTCAGACCTTTTGCCTTGCGTGGATGTGATAACCTTGTTCCTGCTGAAGGTGCTAACGGGAGGAAGGAAGAGAAAGAAGAACATAGTCTGGTTATCCCCCCGTTGTTGACTGTGTGATATGTTTGAACCATGTAAGTGTCACCAAGTTTAAATGATTAGTGCTCAGTGGGGGTAGGGAGAATATACATTATTGAGATTTCTGCACCAATTATTCCAATTTCTGCTTCACCCGGCCTTCCCCCAAGCTATTTGTAATTAGCAAACTTGATTGATTTAAGTATCACCTCTCATTCATCACACATCTCTGGTCTTTATGGTTCATGAACACACTTAAATTAATTAGCATGAATAATTATCTCTCTCATTCAGATCATGAATGTGTTACTAAGGAAGTTGTATTAACATTTCTTTTCTGTAATTTAAAAAAAGCAAAGACTAAAGAATTACCATCTGGGAAAAATTGAAGGAAAGGGTGACATTGCCCCCCAAAAAGAAATGTACTCATTATCTGACTTATGAAATGGTAACCCCTCTGTACAATACCTTAATAATAATTAAATTTTTATATTAAAGAAATTATCATGCAACCAACTTAGAAATATCACTGAGCATGGTCACCAGATTATAGGATCATGAGGGTTACAGAAAAACCCAAGGTACAGCCCCATCTTTAAGAGACTTACTATAAGCCAGCTATTCACCTGTGATCTCAGCATTAGGGAAGCTGAGATAGGAAGGATCATGAGTTCGAGGCCAGCCTGAACTACATAGCAAGACCCTATCTCAAAAAACAAAAGCAACACAAAGAGACTTCCCATTTAGTGTGGACTTCCTTCCCTCCCCTGGAATCTGATTTAATGGAAGGAGAGGCATTTGTGTGGTACCAGCTTTTGTTCTAAAGCTTCCAGGGTGATTCTTTTACAAGTAGAGTTGTAAACACTAGTCCAGCTTGAAGGGGAGTGACATCCCATGAGCACAACCACTCCTACTTCTCTAGGGGAGCTGTCCGCAGTCTCTGGTACTCACTGACCATTTCTAGGAGATCACAGGCTTTTGTGGAAGAAGCTACTTGACATGGACCTGGCTACTAGGTGGGATAGGCTCAAAGGAAGGAATAGGTACTCTAGAGACCAGTCCAGACAGGCAGCTATGAGGAGTAGTTGGTTAATTATGGTACACTATTTGCACACACTCAACAAGGCCTAATGTTTAAAGTGAGCATGTATGAAGTGCCTACTTTGTGCCAGGCATAGCCTCTTGCATTCTGTGTACAATTTCTCATGCTGTTCTCAACTCAATGAATGTTATACACATTATTTTACAGAGGAGGAGAGGTCCAAGAAGTCAAGCATTCCACTAAGATTTCAGAGCTAGTAAGAGATGGAACTGAGAAACAAATCCACATATGCCTGACTCTAAAGACACCTGCTCAGAATCTCTACAAGAGACAGTGGGGGGGGGGGGGGGGAAGGGGTGGGTTGCTCCAAAGTGTTGAATATGCAATGTGTCCATTGAGCAGTCAGAGGACTCAGGACGAGGGGCACTTAGACAGGCCTAAGGACATAGACACCTAGGAAGTTGTATCAGGTAACATTGCCAAACAAGGGACAGAGGCTTGTCCTGGAGTCTCTGGGAGAAACAGAACATTTAACTTCTGAGATGGGCACAGAGCCACAGAGGACAACATGGTGTGTATGTGGGGGTGGGGGGGGGAGGGAGGCAGTAACTGGTGAACATGTGCTTCAAGATACAGAAGACTGACCCAGAAGCCCTGGTGTGCAGGACAGGGCACATCATCTCACTGTAGTGATCAGGAAGGGGGCCTGCGTGGGGGTGGAGCACTAACACCTTAAAGGGCAAAGAGCCATGGGTGTGGGTGTTGGACAGGTATGGGGAAGTCAACTACAGGATAAAGGGAAGGGTAAAGCCAAAGATGGGCACCTCAGGGATGGGGGCAGAAGGTCTCCTTTGGCCAGGTAGACAGAATGAAAAATGTTAGATCTTGAAGTGTCCTTGCAGTTAGCAAAGGAGCAAAGTAAGCAAGAATCAGCCAAGGAGAAAAACAGACAGACAGACAGAGACAGAGAGCAGGCCAGTGGCAGCAGCCAGAAAGGACAGGTTGAGAGCAGAGGGGTCCAGGAGCCAGGGGACAAAAAACCACCCCTCAGACGTGTAGAATTCTTTAGGACCTTTAATTTGAAGCTCCTCTACTTGGAGGGTTTGCTGATTCAAGCTAGAGGATCCCTGAAACCGTTTGAGTATAAAAGTAGTCAGTTGGGGCTGGGAATGTGGCCTAGTGATAGAGTGCCTGCCTAGCATGCATGAAGCCCTGGGTTCGATTCCTCAGTACCACATACACAGAAAAAGCTGAAGTGGTGCTGTGGCTCAAATGGTAGAATGCTAGCCTTGAAGCTCAGGGATAGTGTGTAAGCCCAGAGTTCAAGCCCCAGGACTGGCAAAAAAAGAAAATAAAAAAGAAGTGGGTCAGTGGAGATAAGCTTCTGGAGACTGATGAATTGCTGAGACAAAGCCCCTGGAGTTGGAAAGGAGTTGGATGAGAGGTGTAGGATCTGGGATGGCGCTGGAAAGCAGAAATGATGGAGCCGGGCATGCTGAGCACAGGCAGAATGGGGCATGAAGGACAAGGGGAAACCCTGACTCAGCCCTGGGCCATCTGCCAAGTAAGCTCCAGGCTGGAGTGCGGTAGAAAACGAAGGCCAGCTCATGCCTGCAGCACCTGTGTGTTGACTCCCAGCCTGAAGGCCCATGTAGCCTCTTCTATTGATGCTCACTATTTAGCCACAGAGGCAACCACACTGAAGTTGTCCCAGACAGTGGAACTCCTGTCTCCCTGGCCTTGGCTTTCTCTTTGGTCCTTCTGACCTTCATTTAGACACACACAGTGGCTTGCACTGGGTGCCCAGCCTAGCTCTCCCACAGTTCATGTCACTCTCTAGCCCTGCTTCCGGGACCATGGAGTTCCTAATTCCCTAGATTAAATGTTACCTCTTCTGAGAAGTTTATTTATGCAAGGTTATCAGACAGAATTTCTCTCTTCTCAGGACTGCCAAGAGGCCCTTCCTGTGGCCCCACCCCACCCCTACCCTCTCTTTTCGGCATTTACTCTGTGGTCTCCTCATTGGCTTATCTCATTTGCCTTTTCCTTTTTTGCTGACCTTTCTTAAAAACCAGGACTCTGTCTAACTGATCTTTCTAGATTGCTCCAAATAGACTGGCACCCAGTAGGTGCTCAAAGTAATACAGAAGGAAAGAAGGAAGGGAAGGGAGGGAGGTGAAGGGGAGAGAAAGAAAGGAGGGAGGGAGGGGGGTTGAGGGAAGCTAGCTAGCTAGCTAGCTAGCAGTAGGAAGGCTATTAGACACATCATACCTCAGAAGAGTGGTCATGGCTGAGGGATATTGATGCACTCAGACTAACCCCAGACCCTCTGGAATGATTGATGATGTTCTAAGATCTTTTCGTATCTCTGAACCTCGTTGACCTTTTCCCTCCTTCCAGATCCCCAGTCTCAACATGCCTTGGCCTGTCTTTTTTAATGCATCTCACTTTCTGTAAACTACCTAGTGACTTCAAAAACTTGAATGATTTCCCCAGACAGAACGAAAGGACCCATCTCCTTCTGTTTACTCCCTATCCTGCCCAAGGTTTATTATTTAATGTCATGAGGTTTCCTGTGTGTGTATTTTGAGAAGACGCTCCTACTGAGGGGCCAAGGGCTCTGTATGCTAAGGGGTAACGTGAGAATGCAAGGTGGTGTTCTCAGAGTTCCTCAGGCTTTGCTGCCCAAACTCATTTGATGGTAACTTGTTTCTTTTTTTTTAAGATTATCCTAAACTTCACATCCATGGATTTGTTCAAGAGCCGCCTGTGCTGGTATGATTACGTGGAGGTCCGGGATGGTTACTGGAGAAAAGCCCCCCTGTTGGGTGAGTGGACTGGAGGCAGACTTCAGAGAGCACAGTAGCCTGTCCTCTGGGTGCTGTGGGGGGGTGGGGTGGGGAAGGATGTGGTTACTGTCTGGAAGGGCCCATCCTGACCGTAGCCACAGGAAGCCCTCCAGAGCCCTTGTCATGTAAAACTCTGTACACTCCATTTGGCCACACATGTTAAAAGCTTTTAAAACTGTGAATACCCTTTGACCCAGCAATCCACTGCTTGGAATTTATCCTAGGGAACTAATTAAAGACGTGTGCAAAGCTCTAGCTACAGGGATGTGCACCGAAGCAGGGAAAATTGAAAGCAATTTAAATGTTCGACAGTAGGAGTTAGCTGAATAAATAATGACACATCTCTCCAATGGAAAACTTGCCAGCCATTAACAAGAAAGTTTCAGGTGACTACGTACTGATTCAGAAAGGTGTTTATAGTACATTGTGACACACAGAAAAGCATGTTACCCATACAACTGGCGATGGCATTATTTAAAACATGCATATGCATGTATGCATACATAGTATAAGAATTGCAAACTTAGGTGCTCTAGGAGGTGTGAATAAATAACAAGGGATTAGTCTCATAAAATTAGGAGTGGTGGGGAGTGTGACAAAATGACTACGAAATGTCCTGTCAAGAATCATTCAAATCAAAATTATTTAAGGCATGTACTGGTTGAATCAAATGGAAGAAGCCATTTTGCAATCTATGTCTATCAAGTAAAATTATGAGTGTGAATAGCACAGTTATTTTAGGATAGTGTTTAATTTTTTGTATTCTGGTCTTGGTTTTTTATGTTTCTATGATGGGCATGTTTGATTCCTGTGTGATGGACAAGGCATGAACTCATTTCTGAAGAAATAGCTTGGACCTTTAAGGAAAGGGGAATGGCAAGGTGACATAAAGAGAAAGGTTCACAACAAGAGTACTCTCTCATGGTGGCCAGGGCAGATGAACACAGCCCACAGACCAGTGGCTTTGTGTCTTGAAAACAGGCATTCTAGTACTGTCAATGGAACAGAAAAGAAAAGCATACTGCCAAGAGCCAGATGGAAGGTTCTTGGCTGAAGACAGATTGTCCTCACTGTTGAAGCTCCTATAGGGTAGGTGCCTGGCTGGATGATTCTAAGGTTTTGGTGGGCACTTGATCCCTGATATATCCTCACATGAGCAGAAAAGCCCCACTTACTGCACTGTGGATGGCTGGCCTGAATGAGTGGTTAGTGGGGGCACTTATTGAAGATGGTGACAGAAAAGCAAAGAAGGAATCCAGGTGCTGGTGGTTCATGCCTATAATCCTAGCTACTCAAGAGGCTGAGTTCTGAAGATTGCAGTTCCAAGCCAGACTAGACAGGAACGTCTGTGAGACTTTTATCTCCATTTAATAACTAGAAAACTGGAAGTAGTGCTGTGGCTCAAAGTAGTAGAGTGCTAACCTGGAACAAAAGAGCTCAGGGATAGTACCCAGGCCCTGTGTTCAAACCTCATGACTGACAAAAAAGAAAAGAGGGGGCCAAGTTGTAGACTTCACTGCTAGATAGAGCCCTAGTGTCATGTTGGATCCTGGCAAACAAGAATGAGATAGGTTGAAAGAGACTGGAACTGAAGGTCTGGCTGGAGTGGATATGAAGGGCCTGGTGTATATAAAGCATCTCTATGGGTAAGGGGTCCCCACTGGGTCAGCTGCCATTGGGAATAGCATACAAGCACCTGTGCCAAGAGGTACCAACAAGAATTTGCCTTCACAGGAGCCCCAGAGCACAGGGGAGAAATCAGGACAGGCTCTGCGTGGGGGCACCAGGTTGCCAGCATTAGGAAGGATCTGTCAGTTAATTAGCAGTCCAGGTAGACAAGCTGAGAAGTGACCATAGGCCAGGCACATACAGGAATGTGCACTGAAGGAACTGTGGGTTGTGCACAGGACAAAGGGTGTCTGTATTTCCTGCCTACTATGAGCAGCCATGGGGGTCCTAGCTGCTAGAACGGGGCCCAGTTTCAGGGATAGGCATGTTTTACAAGGGTATGCATGGCTTGCAGGGGTGTGCACCGTTTACCAGAGTATAGCAGTAATGGGGTGTGGCAAAATGACAGGACTGAAGCAGTGGTTCCCAAACTATGGAGTATCGATATGACCTGGGAAGATTTCTATGAACACAGATTCCTGGGAGACGACTGAACTAGAACCTCCACAAGTTGGTTGGTTTGTGCATGCGCCCATGTCTAAAACTGATGCACTGAGAGGATTGGCAGGCCAGGATGCTACCGCAATGGTTGCCTAGGAAAGGAAGCATGTAGGTGAACAGCTTTATGTTTTGATTTGCATGCTTCTCCATCGTTGGAGTCTTTTACAAGTTCTTCTTCTTCTTTTTTTTTTACAAAAGCAGGGTAGGAAGAACTTCATGAGAACATGAAATCACAATCCCCTCAACCTGGCCAACACCTTTCCAGTCACCGAATCCCTTCACAAGAAAGGTGCCCAAGTGGGTGCTAAATGTCTAAAGCTGTGCAGCCCACTAGTAGCTGAGATCAGACCAGAATCCAGATGTTCTGGTAATGCAGGATTTTCTGAGCAGGATTTTCTTTTAGGACTGCCAGATAAAATACACTGTGTGTTGTTTATCTAACATTCAAAGTTAGGAATTTTTGTTTGCTAAACCTGGCCAGTCCCATGTACCCCAGGAAGGGAATAGACTCAGAGACTCAAGAGGAGGAAGTTCTCTGTTCTGGAAGTTCCCTAGGGAGGGGCCAGGCACATTCTTGAGGGTGGGCACAGGCTGGTTTCTAGGTCTTCCCTTTGCTTGCTCTTGAGGCAGGGATTTTTTTCTCACTGCAAATCCTGGTATGTGCATTAATGGGACAGGACCTTACAGTCATGATGGTTTGAGGATTTTGTTTGTTTTGGAGAGGCTCATATTTTATCCACTTCTGCAGTATATGTGTGTGTGTGTGTGTGTGTGTGTGTGTGTGTGTGTGTGTGTGTGTGTGTGTGTGTGTGTGTGTGCGTGCATGTACACGCGCATGCGAGCATGGTGTTGCAGCCAAGGCATGGCTCATTGCCCACAACTGCCATTCTTCATTTGCAAGAACTCCTCTCTCCCCCTCCCACTCTCTCCCACTCTCTCCCTCTCTCTCTCTCTCTCTCTCTCTCTCTCTCTCTCCTTTGCCAACTATTTGGCCTGCTCTGATGTTTCCAAATGCAGTTGTTAGTGAACTTTTGTGTTTGGAACAAGTGCATTGTGTCAGCCAAGCTGGTCCCTGGGAGGGGTCAGTGCCATGAAATCTGTTGGGAGGAGGCAGGTCAATGCCCCTTTGGCAGGAGGCAGAACGGATTAGGGTGGATTGTGAAAGTATGCATCTTGCTCTGAAAAACCATGCATCGAATTTTTTTTTCCCAGGGCACTGTGTGAAAATCCAGGCATAATGCGCGTATAACTTTTTATGAATGAAGCCTTTATGACTCCCCACGGAGCTACTTTTAGTGCCCTCATCTGCATTTCCTCTTCTTGATATCCTTATTAAACTCTTCCTCCTCCTCCCCCTCCTCCACCTCCTCGTCCTCCTCCTCTAAACCCAAGAACCAGGATTCAGTTTAGGAACTGGACACCTTGTCTCTGTTTCAGTGTTTCTCCAGCCTGTTTGGTTTCCTTGGAAGGAGGCCTCTCAGGACCCAGGTTTTCACAGAGTGATTTCCAGGGAAAATTAAATGGATTGAGAAATATTTCACAGCTGCTTAAAGATTTCAACTCAGTTTTTCAATGTCAGGGGCCATTTAGGAGATTGTGCCTTTATTGAGAAGTCAGTGGCTACATAGAGAACCTGTATAGTACTCTTAAACACTGTCCTAGAAATTGACACCCCCCCCCATTTCTGTTAAAGGAATTACTCTAAACAATGCACTTTTTGTATGCAGAACTGTCTAGAGTTCTGTGGCACCACAATGTGCACAAAAGCCCTTTTTCCCCTTTCCTTCAGATGGGGAGAGAAACTCAGGAAAGCCAGGCCGACCCATCTTGTCACCAAGATGGCTTCCCAGTTTGAAACTGATCTTCATTCTTACTTGTCTGTTTCCTAAGTGGGAAATGGACATGACACTTACATTTCCAGGGGAAAAATTTGGTGCAGCCAACTATGTACGGTGCTCAGAACTGTACCCAAGTTCTTTTTGGTGGTGGTGGTGGTGGTGGTGATAAGAAGGTGATAGTGATGGTAGAAGTCTAGATCTCCAACTGCCATGGCTCATATTCTGCTTCCACCTCCAGCTCTGAGGTAAATTCCCTCATCTGCACTTTTCTCATCTGTGAAATTTGATCAATAACAATACCTAATCCAAGGACTAGACTCCTGCTGCTATGACAAAATACCTGAGAGAAATCAACGCAAAGGAAGTAAAGGTTTGCTTTGGCCTCACAGTTTCAGAGACTTAAGTCCATGACCCCTTGGCCTGGTTTGCTCTTAGGTAGGTGGCAAGGTGGTGGTACATCATGGTAAAGACAAGGTGCTCACCTGATGATGGCCAGGAAGCAAAGAGGGAGAGGGACCAGGGACAAGAAACCCTTCAAGGGCACACCCCCAGTGACCTACTTCCTCAAACTCTTCACCATAGTGGATGTAAGAAAAGCCCCTCTGTTATCCATCCTGTCTGTGGCTAGTGTGAGACTCTAGCCTAAGCACTCCACACTCAGTCTCTCATCCATCCTTACTTGTTTTGGCTTGAGTCTCAAATGCTCATGGTTGGTCCCGAGTGCAGCAGTATTCAGCAGTGACTGGATCTTGTGAGTTCTCACCTCACCCATGGACAGTCCACTGATGGATGCACAGGTTAATGGGAGGTGATAGAAACTGCAGGAGGAGGTGTCTAGTTTGAGATACTCCCTAAGCAGTAAAATATTCCTGCATGTAATTCCTGTCTCAGAGAACTGAGCAAGGGTGGTCTCTCCTTGGAGCAGGTATGTATGTATGTGTATGTGTATGTGTGTGGGTGTGGGTGTGAAAGAGAGACAGACGGATAGAGACAGAGAGAGAAAGAGTGGGTCATCTCATCCCTTAGATCCTTAAGAAATAAGATGGGGATGGCCCTCTCCCTTTTGGAAGTAGTACTCAGGGGCTGTGACAGCTGGGGCTTTAAAAGGGAAAACTTGAAACTTGAGCTAGGCTAAGAAGAAATTCTAGCTTTGGTCTGAAGTTTTTTAACTGCCATTGAATGAAAGCTCTCTCTCTCTCCCTCTCTTTCTCTCTTTCTTTCTCTCTCTCTCTCTCTCTCTCTCCCTCCCTCCCTCCCTCCCTCCCTCCCTCCCCCGAGCTCAGTCTCTCCATGCTAGTAATCAATGATTCCTCACAGTTAGTCAGTCTCCAGAATCTAATGAACATCAATTGGCTACACCAGGGAACAATTACTGACAATATATGGACTTCTAGTGAGTCCTTCCTTACCTAAGTCTTGGCAGCAATTTCATCTCATCTCACTGAATATTAAATCGCCAAAGCCACATGGTCACAGGTAGCCAAAATCAGGAGGATGCCAAGGAGGCTAGTAGTAGTCCCCTCTTACCCTCCCCAACGATTATGCTCCAGAGTGGGCCACCAGGAGGTGCGCATTGTGGCCTTTACTCCTTCCAACCTTATCAATCCCCATTTTTCTTAGAAGGATAAAGCAGATTAATAGCTACAAATGACTTTTCTCCAGTACATCACAGGACATTGAAAATCAAAGTACCCATGAAGTGTTAGGGCTATGGCCAAATGCCTTTGTACCAGAAACCTACATCATGTTGCTGTTGTTACATTGCCTGAGGAACAGAACTCTTCATGTCTGTTTCATGGCTGAGTGTCTTGACAAATTATATATATATATCTGTTCACACCTTCTCTCAGGAAGAGCTGGGAAATCAAGAATCTCCTTGCCCTTCCAGGATCTACCTAGGGACTGGGGATAGCTTTATGCTTCTCCCAGGGGCTGAAACTGTCCTGGAGTCACCCTGTTCCATCCACAGCCCAAGGCGGATGGAGTACAGGTCCTGGAAGGGGCCCATGTGTCCTCTCCAAGCCTCTCTCCTAGTGCCCTCCGTCCTGTGGCCTGGGACCCTTTCATAGATCACAGGGATGGGGAGATGCATTCTTCTTTTTTTTTCCCTGAGGCAAGGAGAGCAGAGTGTTCAATGCTCCAAAAGGAAGGCCATAGTGCCATAAGGCATGCTAGCTCAGAGCACCATCCTGCTCTATTTGGGAGCTGCCCTGATGAAGGTACCATGAGGAGCAGGCCCCCAGAGAGGCTGTACCCGGGTATTTTGATGGACTGACATGTGGAGTTTGTCTGAATGAGGCATACGAATGTGTGACTCTCCCTCCCATTCTCAGGATGTGTGGTCCCAGGGAGGGTCTGCCAAGCGTATCGGAAGAACCAGACCTTGCTCTCCAGTGGCAGCGAGCACCTCTTGCTGTCCACAGGCATCCTGACTGTGTCTTTCCCCTTCCCAGGGAGGTTTTGTGGCGATAAGATCCCGGAGCCCCTCATCTCCTCGGACAGCCGGCTCTGGGTGGAATTTCGCAGCAGCAGCAGCATCCTGGGCAAGGGCTTCTTTGCAGTATATGAAGGTTTGTTCATGATAGCGCACTGTGCCAGCTGCTGCAGCTGATATGCCTCTGTCCTTCCTGTACAGCTCTCTGTCCTTCTTCCCCCAAGGCTCGAGTACAGCTTGGGAGACCCTCGAGGGTCAGCCCACCACTAGAGGGGGAAAGCTTAGAATTACAGGTCGCTCCTCCATACTTGGAAGGCTGGAGCCAGCAGTACCCACCTCGAACTTCTCTCTACCTGTCACCAGCCTGCTGAACCTTGCTTCTGGTCCAGCTGGAAAGCTGAAATAGAGCCTGTGCAAATGCCAGTGAGCTCTGAATAGCGGTGTGAGCCTAAGCAAAGACCTTGACCTCTCAGGGCTGCTATCTGTTTCATTAGTGAAAGAAATTCTTCTCTGAACCACCCCAAACCCCTAAAAAAAATGGGACCCTGGTAGAAAATGACTAAAGGCCCTTTTTGGCCCAAGCCATTGTAATTTTGGAGAGGCCAAAATTTTGTTTTTATAAAAGATCTAACAGTGTGCACATCTGTACATGCGCATGCTGTGTGTGTATGTGTGGGGAAGGTACCTGTCTGTCTGTGTGTAGCACCGGGCTTCTGTTCTTTGAATCACTTGGTATACTTTGAGCTTTGTTGCTCAATGTACCCAGAGCCACCTGACTCCCACTGTTGGAAAAGCTCCTTGTGAGTTTTATAGACAATGAGGGCACTACAAAGTTGTTTTCTTTATATGAGGAATTTCAGGGTTGAAAACAGATGCACTTTTATCTTTCTGGGGCACAGTCTTTGTTGACATTAGGGGAAAATGTTAGTGAGTGGAGCCACCTAGTGGTGACAATTGGCCACTTACCTTTCTTCCTAAAATGTATGACCAGGGACCTGGTTCCTCCTTGTGCTTGTCTTTCTAAAGCTATGTGTGGAGGAGACATTACCAAAGACTCAGGTCAGATTCAATCTCCCAACTACCCCGATGACTACAGGCCTTCCAAGGAATGTGTGTGGAGGATCACAGTGTCGGATGGATTTCACGTGGGACTTACCTTCCAAGCCTTTGAGGTGAGTGGGGCTTGGATGTCTTCATGAGCATGAAGCAAGTGACAGCTTTAACTCCACACCCTTCACTCTGAAGATGACTTCCACTGTGTAGTTACACACAGGAACTTAAGAGGCCATTTCAAGGTCACAGTGAGTTGTGTCACAAGTCTGTGAAATTTGCTTCACCTCCTTTGTAAGAGAAGCTGACAGGGCTAACAGAAATGAACAGGTAGGATGGAGGCAGACCAAGGAAGTTTTGTAGAACTGTCTTTTCTCACTTCTTAGTCCCTTCTCAATTTGATTCACCCATGACGTCTGCCACAAAGAGCTCAGAGAAGCCCAGCACATGCGGGGCATTCCTAAATCATATTCCACTCATAAATCAAAAACCTTGAATGCAAGTCAGCTGGAATCATCGTGCCCCCTCTGTTTCTCCCTTTAGATTGAAAGACACGACAGCTGTGCCTATGATTACCTGGAAATCCGTGATGGCCCCACACAAGACAGCGCCCTGATCGGCCACTTCTGTGGCTATGAGAAGCCAGATGATGTGAAATCGAGCTCCAACAGGCTATGGATGAAGTTTGTATCTGACAGCTCCATTAACAAAGCGGGCTTTGCGGCCAGTTTTTTCAAGGGTATGAATTAGAAGTTGTTTCCACTTTCAGTCACAGGAAGAAGTATTTCTTCCCCTAGTGGAAGAACCATAAAACCCATATGGAGCCTCAGCCCCAAGCATGGCTCCTTGCAGGGAGGAGGCAGCCATCCACTGCAGAGCTGTACTGAGCATACCCGCCCGCAGGCCCACAGAGTTCACAGTTTTCAGGAGCAGGCTCAAATTTGGCCTCTACAAAGCAGATCATTCTGCACTTGAGAATGAGATGTAGTAAATTTACAAGGTCAAGCAAGAGTACAGTGAAGCTGAGCGTTGGTAACTATGAATATTTGAACAGCAGCTATCATTGAGTGTGTACCAGAGTCTGGGTAAGATACTGAATTCCCTAGTCAAGGGTGAGAGGGGGCAGAGAAGAGTGTATGCTGGTAATGGGGCTTAAACTCAGGGTCTGGATGCTGTCCCTTGCCTTTTTTACTCAATGCTAGCACTCAATCACTTGATCCACAGGCTTTTTTTGTGATTAATTGGAGGTAAGAGTCTCAAGGACTTTCCTGTCTTGGTTGGCTTGAAGCTATGATCCTCACATCTCACCTCCTGAGGAGCTAGGATTCCAAGTGTGATCGGCACTTGGACCCATCTCTCTTCTGTCTCTTTTTTAGACAGTTCTCCTGTATTCTCCATGAAGCATTAGGGGTCTGAAGAACCCACTTCAAGCCATATCACCTTGCAGGCAGCCATAGCTCCCTATTTCCCCTCTACAGAATAGAGAAAAAGAAATCAGCCCAATGAAACGATTGTACCTCCTAAGCTGCCAAGGGCCCAGTGAGATGCGAAGTCACTATTATTTATTTATTTTTGTCGGTCGTGGGGCTTGAACTATGGGCCTGAGCGCTGTCCCTGAGCTTTTCAGCTCAAGGGTAGTGCTCTACCACTTGAGCCACAGCACCACTTCTGATTTTTTTTTTCTGGTGGTTTATTGGAGATAAGAGTTTCATGGCCTTTCCTGCCCGGGCTGGCTTTGAGCCACGATCCTCAGATCTCAGCTTCCTGAATAGCTCAGATTACAGGCATGAGCCACTGGTGCCCTGCTGGTCGCTCTTGGGAGCTTCCAGGGAAGAGTAAGGAGCAGAGCAAGAGTCACAATGCCCACTTTCCCTAGCCCAGTTTCTTTGGAGTGAAGACTAGCAGTAGGGTGTGCTGTGGACACAAGTACCCAGCTCATGTGTCAGGACTTTGCCAGCGAGAGAAGCTGGAAGCATAACCACAGGCTTGTAACAGAGTGGGAGCAAGCCAAAGACACTCGTGCCTTGGCGCTCGCCGGTAGCAGGCTCTGTTCAGGGCCCAGCTGGCCCATGACACTGGCCAGGATACCAGTTGGCCTCAGCATCCCTCTCCTGGTGCCAGATGGCAGTCCCTCTCAGAGTTATTGGCTGGGCAATCAGTAGAGCACCTTACATTTCTGGTGATGTGGAGTGATCGCAGCATTCAAGGCTTGGCTAGACCATTTTGGTCCATAGTCCCTCCATAAGGAATGTGAAATTCCCCTTCACCCCTGCTCCCTGACCCTCCATGGTAGAGGGAACCTGCATCCTTCATGGCATTTCTTCAGATACCTAGAAATAGGCCCTGTCTTTCTTTAATACTCTCTGAAACAATTCTTGGGGTGCTACTTAAGCTGTCTCATTATTTAGGCATGGAAGCCTCCTTTCGCTCTGCCAGCTGGAAGATGGAAAGAAGTCAGAGCTCTAGCTATGCTAAGCTGAGGCCTGGTCTCAGCTGGGTGCCCTGGGATGTGGAAGGGTGGGCAGTGGACCAGGAAGGTTGGTGAGGATTTAGCCAGGTCACCTTTCCTCTCTGCAGAGGTAGATGAATGTTCCTGGCCAGACCATGGTGGGTGTGAGCAACAGTGTGTAAACACACTTGGCAGCTACATGTGTGCCTGTGACCCCGGCTACGAGCTGGCTACTGACAAGAAGACATGTGAAGGTTTGTATCGAACCTGCCAAGCTGATGTGATGGGGTGGGGAACAGAGTGAGAAATCCGCGCCCCCCCTCCCCCCGCCCCCAGACACACTGAGAGGAACAACTTGGTCACAGGGACAAGTGCGAGTTGCCAGAACTATATGAAATTAAATGAAATGGTGAGACAGGCCACCACTCATTTTCTTCTGTGGCTCTGTGAGATTTACATCATAATTAAGGCAGAAGATGAAGGCAGAAAAATCTATGAGTCCTTTTGGGTGAGTCCTTTCACCCACCTGTTTCTACCTGTGGGACTGTACTTTTCATGCAAGGCAGGTACAGCGGGCAGCTTGGTGCTGACATTTATTTGTATGTGCAGCCAGTACTGGGGCTTAAAACTCACAGCCTGGGTGCTGCCCTCAAGGCTAGCACTCTGCCCCTTGAGTCACAGCTCTACTTCAGCTTTTTGCCAGCTAATTGGAATAAGAGTCTCACAGACTTTCCTACCTATGCTGACTTTAAACTGAGCTCCTCAGATCTCAGCCCCCTGAGTAGCTAGGATTATAGGCATGAGCCACTGGTGCCTGGAAGTGCAGACATTTTTAATTCTTCTTTGGTCCAGATCATATGATGTCACAGCTATGCTGTTAGGTGACAAGTCAATGCATATTCTTATTTTCTTGTATGTATTATTATTTACATACCAGTACTGGGGCTTGAGCTTTGGGCCTCATGTTCTCACTTGGCTTCCCTCCCTCCAAAGGCTAGCAGTCTACCACTTACATCTCCACCTCCAGGCATCATAATTTTCAAAACAAAAAAAGACTTGTCCCCACCTTCCTCCAGATCCTCAGTTTGAAACAGAGGCTAAGTAAAAAGGACGCTGAGCGAATCTGCTCCTATTGATTCTATCATCAGGATGGACCAGTGAGGCTCCTTGCTGCAGGGGGAGGGGGGTGGAGGGGGAAATCGCAGCCACTAGGAACAACCACCAAATGAATGTTGCTTCTGTGTCCCCTGCACAGTGGCCTGTGGTGGTTTCATTACCAAGCTGAACGGAACCATCACCAGCCCTGGGTGGCCCAAGGAATATCCCACAAACAAAAACTGTGTCTGGCAAGTGGCAGCCCCCACGCAGTACCGCATCTCCCTGCAGTTTGAAGTGTTCGAACTGGAAGGCAATGACGTATGTATCTGTACTGATGGGGAGCTGTGTTAACAAAGCGACTCTGAAAGGGGACCAAGGAGGGGGTAGGCGGGCAGGGTGGTTGCTCCTGTGGAAGCTGCCATTTTGAAAGAGTCACAGGATCTAAGTCTGGCAGAATTGGGGTGGAGGCTGCGGTGGGGGTGGGGAGTTAACCCAGTTTCTTCAGCTGCACATAGACTACCTCAGGCCCTCTTGTCACTGATAAGTACAAGTGGAATAGGGATCGGAGTAAAAGCATGGACAGCTTGGAGCCCTGGGCTGTGAATCTGGGTGGATGTGTCCAGCTGAGGTTCAGCTGTTACTACACACAGCCTGTTCCCTCTCTTGGGAATAGCTATGGATGACCAAGTTAGGCTGCTATAGCCAGAGTGCTTGCTGGGTATATCCTGTGTCTGCACATGGAACTGGAGGGGGGACCCCCCCTGGGGGGTCACACAGGACTTTTACCTTGCTCCCTTTAAGAACCACCAGCCTGGTGCCCCTCTGCCAGTTAGGCCTATAGCCTGAGACAAGCCCACTGGCAATGACCTGAGTCATAGAGGTCCCCGGGCCCGTGGTCACCTCACTTCACAGTGAATATTGCACAGACAAAACCCATGCTCAGACTATCCAGCCGTTCCTTTAGAGAAAATCATTGCTGTACCACCATTGCAGAGCTGTGGAACTCCAGACACGTTGTCTGTGCCCTTCTGAGCTCTTGTTTTTCTGCATGAGGACATGGAGGATTTGGATTGTGTCAGTGGTTTGAGAATCTCCTTCCCTTGCACCTTCCTCCTTCTCTTTCTCTTCTCCTTCAGCAAGGGGGGGAGGGCTTTCTTCAAGATAATATCATATGGCAGCCATGATATAAAATGATCAAAGCAAGTGGGGTGGTGCTTGCTTGGGGCCCTGCTGCGAGAAAGGCACAAAAGACAGGGTTGGTCCCTGGCAGCCTCTGTAACTTAGTCTAATGATCAGCATAGAGAAATAGAGGGGAACCCCCCCTCCCTACCGCTGGAGCTAGCCTGAGCCCATGGGGCCACATGGCAGGGTGCAGACCTAGCCAGGGGCTCTGGGCTGGGAGATGGGCGTAAGGGCTGCTTTCCTCCTTTTTCCCCTCGCAGGTCTGTAAGTACGACTTCGTGGAGGTGCGCAGCGGCCTGTCCCCTGATGCTAGGCTGCACGGCAAGTTCTGCGGGTCTGAGACCCCCGAGGTCATCACCTCACAGAGCAACAACATGCGCGTGGAGTTCAAGTCTGACAACACGGTCTCCAAACGGGGCTTCCGGGCCCACTTCTTCTCTGGTAGGTGGATGAGGAGGCGAGGCATGCAGCTCATGGTCAGGTGACTTTGCAAGCTCCCACCTCTGAGTCCCTGTCCCCTCTTAGCTCACCCCTGCATCCTCCCAATACAGGCACCTGGACCCAAGGTCTTTTTTTGGGGGGGGGGTCTGGTCATGGGGCCTGAACTCTGGGCCTGGGCGCTGTCCCTCAGCTCTTCAGCCCAAGGCTAGCACTCTACCACTTGAGCCACAGCGCCAATTCCAGCTTTTTTCTTTTTTTTTGCTTATGTGGTGCTGAGGAATCGAACCCAGGGCCTCAGGCATGCAAGGCAAGAACTCTACCACTGAGCTACCTTCCCAGCCCCGTGGACCCAACGTCTTTACTCATGTCTTGGAGCGTCCATCACAAATTGCAACTCACTGAGTAATTTAAGATACAATAAATTCTTACTATTCTAGGGACCAGAAATCTGAAATCTAGGCCCACCCAAATCATATAGCAGAGCCTGCGGGTCACACTACATTATAGTGTGGACTGTTTAAGGACTGTAGTTAAGCCAGGTGCTGGTAGCTCACACCTGTAATCCTAGCTACTCAGGAGGCTGAGATCTGAGGATCGCGGTTCAAAGCCAGCCCAGGCAGGAAAGTTCGTGAGACTCTTATCTCCAATAAACCACTAGAAAACCGGAAGTGGTGCTGGGGCTCAAGTGGTAGAGCGCTCGCCTTGAGCTGAAGAGCACAGGGACAGCGCCCAGGCCCAGAGTTCAAGCCCCATGACCAAAAAAAAAAAAAAAAAAAGGACTGTAGTTAGGTTATTTTATATTCTAATTGCTTAGACCTGAGCAAGAAGCCAATTACTTATAGGCTTTATATGTGCCTGGAATGTGGCTGGAGTTCCCTCTGAAATAGATAGATAGATAGATAGATAGATAGATAGATAGATAGATAGATAGATAGATAGATAGATAGAAATCTAGATCTATATTGGGCAGTCTCTTGTTGACAAGGTTTTTTGGGAGTTTTTTGTTTTGCTTCATTTCATTTTTTTTTTTGCCAGTATTGGGCTTGAACTTGGAGCCTGGTGCTGTCCCATAGCTTTTTCTCTCAAAGGTAGCATTCTACCACTTGAGCCACACCTCCACTTCTGGCTTTTTGTTGGTTAATTAGAGATACAAATCTTCCAACTTAACTTCCCTACTGGCTTTGAACCTCAATCCTTAGATCTCAGCTTCCTGAGTAGTTAGGATTACAGGCATGAGCCACTGCATCTGTGTGGTTGATAAATTTTGTTTTAGAGTGCCTGCTGGGGGTACAACCCAGCACTGGGCTCAGATAGGTGGCCAGGGTGTGAACAAGCTTACCTCATCCTGCGTTTTGGGGCCCTTTGGGGTAGGCCAGAGTATCAAGGATGAATGTTGGAAGGAGAGGAATCCTGGCTACCTGGAACATAGGGGAAGGCTTTTTGTGGTACGCATGGTGTTCTAGGCCAGGCCTAAGGGATAGACAGGACGAGGGTGGGGCTGGGATGACTAGAAAGAAAATGATAATGTCCAAGAAGAGAAAGCAGTGGGAGCTTGGGTTTGGGGTCTCAACTGAGTACAGAGACCAAGATGAGAGCAGACTGTACCAAGTCGGTCCTCAAGACCAGGGATGAGGTGGGCCATGTTGGGTGGGGTTGGGTTTTAGAGGACCTTGAATGTAGACAGAAGAGTGAGGATTCATCAGAACCAGATGTAGGACCCTCTGCAGGTCCTCAGCAGGGGGTGCTGTGAAGGCCTGTGATCCAGCCAGACCTCAAGTATGGAGCTGGGTGGGTAGGGGAGTGGACCAGCACCTCCCTGAGAGGAGGTGTGCGAGTCTCCAGAGTGGGGCACACCTCCATGCTTGCCTTGGAACCCTGAGGGCAGAAGAGCTGAGTCTGAGCAGGGTGAGGGCCTGCGAGTGTCCCCAGAAGAACCCAGGGATGGAGGGGCTGGCTCCCGTCCTGGGGTGCTGGGTGGAGACCACTGAGGCACACAGTCAGGCCCTGCCCTGTGTCCCAGCCACAGGCAGGGCTGCAGCAGGGTCAGCACTCACTGACCTCCTGACTCCACAGGCAGGAAGTGGTGTGTGAGCCCAGACCTGCAGGTGGCTCGCTTAGGCTACTTGCTGAGTGACTCTGGGCACCTCAGTCCTCCCAGCCTCTGTTTGCTTACCTGTAAAATGGGTACGAGCCCTCCTTCCTGAGGTTGGGTGGAAATGAACTTGATAACATATAGGAAGTGCTTGGGGCAGGTCCCACTCCTAGGACATACTCAGTACCCAGTGACTTTTGCTATAATAGGAATCCTTCCTGCAGGGGCAGAGAACACATGTGCGGTGTGGCAAACGGTTTTAGGAGCTGAGGGAATCAAACATACCTCCCAAACCATGTGAGCACACACACACACACACCCCATAAGAGGACAATGGGGGACAGTCAGGGAGGTTCCCTGGAGGAGGCTGCTCTGGAACAGGGTCTGAGCCATGAGGGACCCTCCCAACCAGAGATTCCATTGATCTTCCCAGACAAAGATGAATGTGCCAAGGACAACGGTGGCTGCCAGCACGAGTGTGTCAACACGTTCGGGAGCTACCTGTGCAGGTGTCGCAACGGGTACCGGCTGCACGAGAACGAGCACGACTGCAAAGAGGGTGAGGGCAACCTCTGGGTCCAGCTGCATGCCCTTCCCCCGTGGGCGCATGCGCTAGGGAGGTGGGGTGGGAGGAGCTGCGGTGGGGGTGGGAGGAGCTGCGGTGGGGTGGGAGGAGCTGCGGTGGGGTAGGAGGAGCTGCGGTGGGGGTGGGAGGAGCTGCGGTGGGGGTGGGAGGAGCTGCGGTGGGGTGGGAGGAGCTGCGGTGGGGGTGGGCAGGGCTGCGGTGGGGTGGGCAGGGCTGCGGTGGGGTGGGCAGGGCTGCGGTGGGGGTGGGCAGGGCTGCGGTGGGGGTGGGAGGAGCTGCGGTGGGGGTGGGAGGAGCTGCGGTGGGGTGGGAGGAGCTGCGGTGGGGTAGGAGGAGCTGCGGTGGGGGTGGGAGGAGCTGCGGTGGGGTAGGAGGAGCTGCGGTGGGGGTGGGAGGAGCTGCGGTGGGGTGGGAGGAGCTGCGATGGGGTGGGCAGGGCTGCGGTGGGGGTGGGAGGAGCTGCGGTGGGGGTGGGCAGGGCTGCGGTGGGGTGGGAGGAGCTGCGATGGGGTGGGCAGGGCTGCGGTGGGGGTGGGAGGAGCTGCGGTGGGGTGGGAGGAGCTGCGGTGGGGGTGGGCAGGGCTGCGGTGGGGTGGGCAGGGTTGCGGTGGGGTGGGAGGAGCTGCGGTGGGGGTGGGAGGAGCTGCGGTGGGGTGGGCAGGGCTGCGGTGGGGTGGGAGGAGCTGCGGTGGGGTTGGGCAGGGCTGCGGTGGGGGTGGGAGGAGCTGCGGTGGGGGTGGGAGGAGCTGCGGTGGGGGTGGGCAGGGCTGCGGTGGGGTGGGAGGAGCTGCGGTGGGGGTGGGAGGAGCTGCGGTGGGGGTGGGAGGAGCTGCGGTGGGTTGGGAGGAGCTGCGGTGGGGGTGGGCAGGGCTGTGGTGGGGTGGGAGGAGCTGCGGTGGGGGTGGGCAGGGCTGCGGTGGGGGTGGGAGGAGCTGCGGTGGGGGTGGGAGGAGCTGCGGTGGGGTGGGAGGAGCTGCGGTGGGGTGGGAGGAGCTGCGGTGGGGTGGGAGGAGCTGCGGTGGGGTGGGAGGAGCTGCGGTGGGGTGGGAGGAGCTGCGGTGGGGTGGGCAGGGCTGCGGTGGGGGTGGGCAGGGCTGCGGTGGGGGTGGGAGGAGCTGCGGTGGGGTGGGAGGAGCTGCGGTGGGGTGGGAGGAGCTGCGGTGGGGTGGGCAGGGCTGCGGTGGGGTGGGAGGAGCTGCGGTGGGGTGGGAGGAGCTGCGGTGGGGTGGGCAGGGCTGCGGTGGGGTGGGCAGGGCTGCGGTGGGGGTGGGAGGAGCTGCGGTGGGGTTTGCAGGGCTGCGGTGGGGGTGGGCAGGGCTGCGGTGGGGTGGGAGGAGCTGCGGTGGGGTGGGAGGAGCTGCGGTGGGGTGGGAGGAGCTGCGGTGGGGGTGGGCAGGGCTGCGGTGGGGTGGGCAGGGCTGCGGTGGGGTGGGCAGGGCTGCGGTGGGGTGGGCAGGGCTGCGGTGGGGTGGGAGGAGCTGCGGTGGGGGTGGGAGGAGCTGCGGTGGGGTGGGCAGGGCTGCGGTGGGGGTGGGAGGAGCTGCGGTGGGGTGGGCAGGGCTGTGGTGGGGGTGGGAGGAGCTGCGGTGGGGTGGGAGGAGCTGCGGTGGGGGTGGGAGGAGCTGCGGTGGGGTGGGAGGAGCTGCGGTGGGGGTGGGAGGAGCTGCGGTGGGGTGGGCAGGGCTGCGGTGGGGGTGGGAGGAGCTGCGGTGGGGGTGGGCAGGGCTGTGGTGGGGGTGGGCAGGGCTGCGGTGGGGTGGGCAGGGCTGCGGTGGGGGTGGGAGGAGCTGCGGTGGGGTGGGAGGAGCTGCGGTGGGGTGGGAGGAGCTGCGGTGGGGGTGGGAGGAGCTGCGGTGGGGTGGGAGGAGCTGCGGTGGGGGTGGGAGGAGCTGCGGTGGGGGTGGGAGGAGCTGCGGTGGGGGTGGGAGGAGCTGCGGTGGGGGTGGGAGGAGCTGCGGTGGGGGTGGGCAGGGCTGCGGTGGGGTGGGAGGAGCTGCGGTGGGGGTGGGAGGAGCTGCGGTGCGGGTGGGAGGAGCTGCGGTGGGGTGGGCAGGGCTGCGGTGGGGGTGGGAGGAGCTGCGGTGGGGGTGGGAGGAGCTGCGGTGGGGTGGGAGGAGCTGCGGTGGGGTGGGAGGAGCTGCGGTGGGGTGGGAGGAGCTGCGGTGGGGGTGGGAGGAGCTGCGGTGGGGGTGGGAGGAGCTGCGGTGGGGGTGGGAGGAGCTGCGGTGGGGTGGGAGGAGCTGCGGTGGGGTGGGAGGAGCTGCGGTGGGGTGGGAGGAGCTGCGGTGGGGGTGGGCAGGGCTGCGGTGGGGTGGGCAGGGCTGCGGTGGGGGTGGGCAGGGCTGCGGTGGGGGTGGGAGGAGCTGCGGTGGGGTGGGCCGGACTGCTCCAGGAGAGGCCTGAGTCTGGGCCTCAACCTCTGCGTTCCTTGCTCTGGTTTGCTGGGAGTGGCTCAGTGTTCCTGGCTTCTGCAGGTGCCCCATGCTGAGTTACTGAAAAGTGGTTAAGCTGTAGGCCCAGGTCTACACCCCAGATAGCCACTCATTAGTGGTGTGACCTTGTACAAGTTAGTCCCTGAGACTCAGCAAGAGGCTCAGTGTTCCTCCTTCCTGAAGTTTCGTAGATATTAAAAGAATGCCTAGAAAGTATTCCAGCCTGGTGCATATAACACACGCAGGTATCAATAATTATCAGCCACCGTATATGCCATAATACTATTACCCAAACACCGGCCTTATAGGGACCAAGAATTTGGGGAGAACTTTTCCCCATGCTCCATTCATTCATAGGAGTTCAGGGCCACCTACCTTTGAACACCCAGTCATTCTAGAAGCCACCCCTCCATTCTGGTTCTGCCCTGTGAAGCAGTTTGAACAGCTGTGATAAACACAGGCACCAGGCCTTGATGCCACAGAGTCCACAACGTTCGCTGGGTGTGGTGACCTGTGAAGACCATCGATTTCCCCCCACACCCCGGCTTTCTTCCTTGGAAATGGGAAGGAGTAAAATAATTGAATGAGTGCTCAGCACAGAGGAAGACAGCCTAACCCCTGCCCAGGTGCAATTAGTGTGCAGGGCCGGGGGTGCAAACCAGGACAACGCGGGGAGCTCTCCACACGCTGGAAAGCTGGAGGAGGCACGTGCACAGGGCATAGGGACAGGGAGATCTCCGCCGCTCTCCCAACTACCTCTCACATGTGGCATCTCACTTAATCTGCATGTACGAGGCTGACACCTCTTTTATAAATAAGGCCCCATAGGTGGTGGAATCAGGACCTGAACTGAGCTCCATCTGACCCCAAGGCCTGTGCTTCTAACCTAGTACTATTTGCAATGCCAGCATCCTTGTGGACAGTTAATAGAATATCCTGGCTCCTGAGCCACAGTGAGGTAGGCAGGAACGCAATTCAAACAAATCAGCAAATCTCTGCACCAAAGAGCACCGGATTCAGGCTGCCCCCCCACTCATCTTTGATGACCCCAAGACAAAGAAACCAGAGAAGAAACCTCTATAACAAATACCTTTGATGCTGTTTACAAGTGAATGACACACTCTCTCCCCCTGTGACCCCCAGCTGGCTGTGCACACAAAATCAGCAGTGCAGAAGGGACCCTGGCAACCCCCAACTGGCCTGATAAATACCCCAGCCGGAGGGAGTGCACCTGGAACATCTCTTCTACAGCAGGCCACAGGGTGAAACTCGTGAGTCATCTCATAGCTGGTTAAGAACTTGCATTTCCACATTGGGCAGGCCTGAGTTTGAGTCTCTGCTCTGCCACTTCCTATCACTAACACTTAGTTGGGATCTACCCAGAATTTCCTGGTCTTTGATTCACTGTGTAGAAAGTGGGGGTGTTGATAAAGCCTGCTTCATGGGGCTGTGGTGCAGAAGGAACAGAGGTCACACACAACAGCTCTGTAACAATACTGGCTCACTATGGCTCTGTGGGGGGGGGGGTGTACCCCACAGATCTGCAGGGCTGTTTTGAAATTCAGTTGTTTCAGTGTTGATTTTTTTAAATAACCCCAAACATGACATTTTCAAGGTTTAAAAAATAATTTCAGTAAGCACTAAGGTTGGGAAGGGAAATGGGCACCCTCAGCATTTTCTTCTGAATCCATCCAGAAATTTCCTATGCATGTATATGGGGGAAATATAGATTTTTTTTCTTACTTAAGCCACTCAGATGAGATCAAATTATCTTACAACTTATATTTATCCAATCAGTAATAGGAAAGTTATGTTTGTTCTTTCTTGAATTAAAAAGGAAAATCCTTGCAAGTCTTGATTAAGTCTCATCCATATAACTGATGTGTGGTCTCAAACCACTTGCTTGGTTATTTCAAAGGAGAAATATATCTCTCTCAGTCTTATTTCTTAACTCCTAGGGACTTCCAGAGTCTGGAGTACATGGAAAATTCACTTTGCCAGCTGGGCTGACAAAATTTTTGCTGTTATTATTTTAAACGAATCCTCTAAATACTGACAGGAGCAGGATTTGTCCTGCCAATGATGGAACACTAACTCAGGGAGAATGCAAGAGATCAGAGATGTAAGCATGCTCACCAGTAGCCAGCGGCACGGGGACTGTGAGGTTATTTAGTGCTGAGGGCCCTAACTGAGATGTGGACAGGTGAATCTCCTTGAGTGAAGGTTAGACAGGTAGACAGGCAAGGAGACATGCAGAAGGGATACACGGTGCTTTCAGCCCACACGTCCAGTACATGCTACACGTGGGAACTGCTCTCCTTGGTTGCTCCCAGGAGCTGCATGGGTCATGAGAACAGCCTCAGATCTGGGTGAGAGTAGATTCAGAGTGCATTTAAGAAAGCACGCCTTTCCAAGACTGCCATCTGCTGGAATGTGTTTGCAATGGCAGCATTCATCCTGGATAACCGTTAGGGAATAGAACACAGAGCAGCATGCTCGGCACAGTCATACCTATTTTGTCTGTACAGCAGACAGAAATGTTGTCTCACAGATGTATTCTAGCCTGTATTCTAGCTACTAAGATGGCTGAGATCTAATAATCAAGCCAAATCAGGCAGGAAAGCTAAGGGACAGTGCCTAGACCCTGAGTTCAAGCTTCAGAACTGGTAATTTTTTAAAAAGTCTCTGAGACCACTCCTTGGTTACAACCCCACTGCATCAGTGTGTGACCTTGGGCAAGTCACCTGATGTATGCTTGCTTTCAACACTTGTGGAGTCCTTAAATGAGGTAATATTGTAAAGCATTCGACACAGCTGCTGGCCTGAGGGAAACGCTCAGCCCTTGCTGGTTCCTGGGATTCAGGGAAGGGAGAGAAGAGGACAGAGCTGGGAATGCATAGCTAGGATCGAAAACCTGCTGCTCACTGGTGGTCACCATGTCATCAACCATCTCTGCTTGTCTCCCCTATAAAGGGATCATGGCATGGTAGGAGTAGCTCATGTGTCTTCAGAGTTGTTTTGAAGCCCCTCTCCCCAGTGCCCCTGCGCTCCATGGTTAGGCACCTCCTTGTGTGGCAGGCTGGACAGATGCCACCACCTCTGACAGCTCACCTTTCCCCTCCCCACCCCAGCTCCATGCCAGATCCTTGCTCTACTTTCTGCTCTTCTGTTCCCAGACGTTCAATGAGTTTGAGATCGAGCAGCACCAGGAATGTGCCTATGATCATCTGGAAATGTACGATGGACCTGACATCCTGGCCCCTACCCTCGGTCGATTCTGTGGCAGCAAGAAGCCAGAGCCCATAGTGGCATCGGGCAGCAGCCTGTTCCTCAGGTTCTATTCGGACGCCTCAGTGCAGAGGAAAGGCTTTCAGGCAGCACATAGCACAGGTACCGGGTGGCAGGGCACCGCGGGGGAGATGGGTTGTGTGTGGTGAAGGCAGAGAAGGCGTCCCTCGCTACTGAGGGAAGGGCGAGGGGACACACTGTGTGATAAAATGGACCTGTGTAAATGAAACATTAGGCTGTGCACCGGTGGCTCACGCCTGGAATCCTAGCTACCCAGGAAGCTGAGATCTGAGGATCGAGGTCCAAAGCCAGCCTAAACACAAAGCTTTGTGAGACTCTTACCTCCAATTAGCCAACAAATTGCTGCAAGTGGAGCTGTGGCTCAGATGGTAGAACTCCAGCCTTGAGAAACAAAAACAAACAAGCAAGAGTATGAAGCCCTGAGTTCAAGCCCCAGTACTGGCACACGTGGAAGGGAGGGAGGGAGGGAAGAAGAGAGGGAGGGAGAGGAAGGAAAAGAAAGGAAAGAAAGAAAGAAAGAAAACTGAAAAGAGAAAAGAAATGATCAGTCATCATAGGCAAAAAGGTGGCAGGTTTTTGGTGGTGGTTGTTCAGGTCATTTGTTGGTTTTGCTTTGCTTATTTCCATTCGTGTTGCTCCTAGGGTTGGAACTCAGGGCCTCTCACTTGATGGCAGGTGCTCTCCCACTTGAGCTAGGCAGGCTATCAGCCCCTTTTGATGTCTTTAAATGTCAAAATTTGATGTAGGCAACCCTTAATCAATTCCTTTCTTCTCTTCCACCCTCCAAAAATGTACTTGTAATTTCACTGGCCTGTGAAGTTCGTAGTCTGGGAGCCAGCGGTAGCCAGCAGCCCTTTTGATCCTCTGAGTAGGAAAATGGGAAAGTGAAAACGCTTCTGTTCCCTGTTACTTTTTCCTGCATTCAAAATACCAGTAGCTCTGTGATCCCTTGGGGAAGAAAAGGCCTATGCTCATAATTTACATTATTTGCTTTTCTAAGTAGAAGGTCAGGAGGAAAAGGAGCTGCTCTTACAGCTTCACGAGGCTAGTTAACGCCTTGACCAGCTCCAGGGGCAGACGCAGAGGCCTCGTGGGCTCTTCCATCCGGGAGTTACAGTGTGCTCACAGCTTCTGCAATTCTGAGCCAGAGAACATGACCATGGAGCCCTAATGTCCCTAATACACACACACACACACACACACACACACACACACACACGCACGCACACGCACACATGTGCACACAAGCCAGGAACCAGGACTCAGGTCAAGCAAAACAAAACAACAATCACCTTTGCCTGGCAGGCTAGTTTGCCCTGCTTAGCCATAGACACTGCATGGCGTGTTCCCCAGAGGAGTTTAAAGGCCACTGAGTAGTGACCTCACTGTCTTGTGTATGCAGCCAGAGATAAGTACTGGAGGTGGCTTAGAGTCCCAGTAGGAAATTGGGGGCACTCTTGGTTGTTTGGATGTAAAGGTAATTGTTGAGGTGAATGTAATAAAGGCACTGTTTATAAAGGGCTGAGTGGTGTGTGGGGACACCTCCAAGGTTTGGGCAGCCACAGTTTATAGAACCAGGAGGCTGTAATCACCCCAGGCCCAAATGAGGACTTCTGGAAGCCGCTTGACCAGCAAGGAAGGTGCTGGGGACTAAGTGCTTCTCCCTCACTCTGATGAGCTGGTGCTCAGAGCCCAGTGGTGCTGGTGGGGTGTAGGTAAAGTTGAGCTCAGCCCCCCTGGGGCCCCAGCAGGTGAGGAAGGAGCATTCTTGCATTACTCTGTGTTCTGTGCTCATTTTATTTCCATCTGGGGCTCAGAAACTGGAAATTTCCCAAAGACAGGTCAGATCTAGAAGAAATTCCAGGCCAGAGGAAGGAAGCATAGGAGAGCTTCAAGTGCAGCAGGGCTGGAGCCAGCTTGGGATGTAGCTCCATCAGTGCCTAGAAATGTGAACCAAACCTGGAAGAGCTCAGAACCCACAGCATGGGGCACTCGCGCTGCTGGGACACTCCCTTCCTGGAGGTGGAGGGTCAGGTGCTGTGTAGCACACTGGGGAGGAGGAATGGAGGAATCTGCCTCCAGAATCTCAAGGGCTTCCCTGTCCAGATCAGACTCCTTTATCCATTTTATCCATGTGCACTGAGGTGGCCTACAGACACATTGGTATAGGCCCCAGGCCAACTTGAGCTCATGTTCCAGTAAAATGGTCAGGGGTCATGAGTGTAAACTGAGGGTCTGTCCAAGAAGGGACCAGCAAGGCAAGGGAAGAGGGTATTGAGGGGTTAAGAGAATCAAAGGATCTCTCTCTCTCTCTCTCTCTCTCTCTCTCTCTCCCTCTCTCTCACACACACACACAGCACAATACCCACCAACACTTTGCAAAGGAGGAGAAGAGCAGAAATGGGAACATGGAGGCGGGGAGTGAGTTTGTTCAAAGTACAACATGCATGTGTGTGGACAGAAGCATCACCACCGACCCTCTGATGTTACAAACGTACACAAATTCAAACAAAAATAATAAAATTCAGAAGCCATGGCTGAAGGACGCAGCCAGAACTCTGAGGTGCACTCCCCTGTGACCCCCACGGGGACCTCAGCCGGTAGTAGGTTTTCTCAAATGCAAGTTTAAGCAAGACCAGCTCGCTGAGGTTTCTCCTATGGGGCTACCTGTGGTTCTGAGGTGCCCTCTGGTGGCAGCAATGTCGCATTACACCAAGTCAACGCCGACCTGAGTGAGCCCTTCTGCTTCCTGTACTGGCCTAACTTGTCAGACCCAGCAAGTGGTCAGGCAAGCCATTCATCAGCCCCATTCCCCCTTAAATGGGGAGAGGAAAAAAGCAGCCCGCCTTTTTCAGTGGCATGCTCAGGGATTCTGGGAGGCTTTGCGTGGCCCCATTGGAAACAGGAGACTGGCTTCTAATGGACAGTTTGACCTCAGCCCCCCAGGGGAGCGCTGACCTCAGACGTCCTGCCTCTGTTTACTCCTCTGTGAAGTGGGAGGACAGGACTTCGTGTAGGGGCTCTACAGAGCAGCTGGCAGGAAGCAGGTGGGGTGGCACCAGGGCTCTGGGGACTGAGGGTACGTCTTCTTCCTCTCTCTGCCCCAGAGTGCGGGGGCAGGCTGAAGGCCGAAGTACAGACCAAAGAGCTCTATTCCCACGCCCAGTTTGGGGACAACAACTACCCGAGCCAGGCCCGCTGTGATTGGGTGATAGTAGCGGAGGATGGCTATGGCGTGGAGTTGATCTTCCGGACCTTCGAAGTGGAGGAGGAGGCTGAGTGTGGCTATGACTACATGGAGGCCTACGATGGCTACGACCGCTCAGCACCCAGGCTGGGCCGCTTCTGTGGCTCAGGGGTGAGTTGCACCCAGAGGGGGGGGAGGCACTAAGTAGCCAGATCAACACCTGAGCGCATAAGCCATTGCTGCCCCTGCCACTCGCTGGCACTAGAGTGGGAAACAGGAGGCTCCCCAGAGAGGAGTTGGCGGTTGGATAAAGCTTTTGAAGCTGTGTGCTCCAAGGACAGGATCCCTTGGAGGTCCTGAATGGGAAGTTCCTTGTCTCTGCCAGGACCCAGCAGACAGCAGTGGAAGTGTGATTTCCACTCCCAGAGCGCCTGGCATAACCTTTCCAACAAACACAGCAGCTCTGCCATCTGCCTGACCTCCTTGGGACGGAGACCTGACCCTTGTTCAAGGTCTCTTGGGAGACACATCCCAACGGTAATGGGCAAAGCGCCCGGGAGTCCTGATCAGAAAGCTCTGAGCCCAGCTCTCACCTCTGTCTGTGACCTGGGGTCTCAGGTTGCTCAGCAGGGCCATGGAGGTAGTGGCTGCCTTACAGAGTGCTTCCTTGAGATAAGGAAGGGCAGGCCTGGCCCACCTGTGCACTTGGTGCATGGTAGACTCTGCGCGCTATGCATCTTGGATGTTCTATGGAGAAGCAAGACCCACAGAGCCCTAGGGAGCAAGAGTTTTGCGGTGCTTTCCTTTGAAAGCATTGAGTTGTTTGGATGCCCCTCAGAGCCTCTGGCGTTGGGGATGCTTCATTGTACCATCAGCCATGCTGTGTCCTCGAGTACTGTCCTGTTCTGATTTAAACTCCAACCACAGCCAGCTTGCCTAATGCTCTCTGGTTTTCCTTTCTCCTCTCCTCAGCCATTAGAAGAAATCTACTCTGCAGGGGACTCCCTGATGATTCGATTCCACACAGACGACACCATCAACAAGAAAGGTTTCCACGCCCAATATACCAGCACCAAGTTTCAGGATGCTCTGCACATGAAATAGGAAGGCCCAAGTTGTAGAAAGACAGGAACTGAGGAGGGCTTTATCATAGCACCTTGAGAGCCAGCCCTGAACAGTGTACAGTCTTTTTCTCAAACAAAAACTTAAAATCGAATCTGGAAGGTATGTAGTTGGACAAAAGTTACCTAAGGGTTTGGCCCACAAAATGAAAGAGAAAAGTGTTCCCTTGGTTCCAGCTATAATGTTAGCACTCACGGGCCTCAGAAGGTAAAGGTTTGAAGTCACTGACCACGCAAGCTATGCTTGTTCATTCTCATTGTCCGTCCCTTGCTCCTATGGGGCCACAGGCCAGCTAAGGGCTGGCCATTCCACTGTTCTGGATATGTTTCCATAGATGCCTGCCGTGTGACTGGATCCTGGAGATACAGGCTGTCTTCTGTCTGCACTGGGCAATGAGGATCATGTGGCTGTGGCTCATTTGTTACTCCCAGTACTGGCTAGGAAGTTTTGCTTTTTCTCTGCCAGGGACATGTCAGGACATGTCAGGAACATGGAGGACGAAGAGCGGTAGAGGACAAGGTAGCTGCTAACAGCGCAAACATGAGAGTCATCATCATGACCCTGGAAGACCTTTGCCTTTGCTCTGCCTCTTTGACCCCTTTGGGTTCCCTTATCCCTAATTACATTAGATTATGGCCTCCACTGGACATCCCAGCAGAACATTTGCTGGTGGGAATCTTCTTTGCCAAAAAGAAAATGTCTTGACTCTTCCTGATACTCCTTCCCATCGCTGACTTTGAGAAGACACCATCTATGCCTGGGCTCCCATTGGCTTCCAGATAACCTCCAGCAATGGCAGCAACTGCTGGGTTGATCCTCAGTTCCTTGACCGCCAGGGCAAAGTGCATCTGCAAGACGTGCAAAGACATCTTAGGAGGGACCAGGGCAGGTCCTGGTGGGGTGAACACTGTTCGTTTTAAGTTATATAAGGATCATCACTGGCGGGAAACTCAGTCATGACTAACTTCCTGAAATCCAGCGGGTTAAGCAGTGCTTCCATGACTTCCATTGATGACTCTTCAGCCACCACCTGGCAGTCAGAGGCCCACCAGCCTTGGCACTTGTTCTAGAGAAGTAGAGACAATATTTGCGTAATTTTAGTACCTCAAGGTATAATTTAAGCAAGGAGGTTGTTTTGAATGGCATTTCATTAAGGCATCTATGGGCATTATGAGCTCAAAGCTGTGTGGTATGTTAGCTTTTAAAAGAATATTTATGTTGGAATAATTTTACAGTAATGTTTACATAGCCAGAAGTCCTGTTTAGTTGCATTTGAACACAGGGCAGCACATGAGTGGTTCCAGTGAGCTCCCAGGCTCCTGAATTCCTTTGGGAATGAAGGATCATTTTAAACAAGGTGTTTGTGAAAGGCTAAGGGTTATAGTTTGTGAAGATCAGACTTTGTAGCCAGAAGACTGTTTCAAATTAAAAGTGATTGCTGGGAGTAAAACCTAGAATAAAACTAGGAGAAAGAAAGAAAGACAGACAGACAGACATGGGAATAAGTTTTTCTCAAAACAGAAAAAAATCAAAGTTATAATAATAATATATGTGTATATGTGTATGGATGTAAAGGATCAGTGGTCAAAGCCTTAAATCACAGCAGTGTGAAAAATGCCACCCATTGGCGGTAGCTTTATGGCCCCAGCCTCCAGTGCTGGTTCCACATGTTCTGCCCACCTCCTCCTGAGCTCTCTCTAGCCTATCCCAGCCCTGGACTGAGGCTTGCCTTCCATCTTCATGTCTTGATGGATGGCCCACTCTGCTCAGGGTGAACTTTGATATGGCAAGTAGAGCAACTTCTCCCCTGGGTCAGATCCATCTTCCTGTTACCGTGGGTTCCATTTCTCTGATCTTGGTGTTTCCTGAGGTTCCATTTTGTCTGTCCAAGTTGAAACTGAAACCTGGATACATCCGGTGGTTGCTAAGGGTCCCTTTTCCAGGAGAGGAAAATTCTGTACATTTAACCTTTAGAAGTCTAAAGAAGATGGACAGGGAGGCAGTCGAGAGGGAGAAGCAGTTTCAGCGTTCATTGCCTTCATAACACACAGAAGCTTCTTTTTGCTCTTCAGGAGGGACATTTCCAGAAACCCACAGCTTCCGCCAGTTGTCACCACATGGCCCATCTGCAACAATGGGACTCTTACGAAGACCTTTATTTAGGCCTGTGAGTGATGTAGCCTCAGACCTATGAGCTCTGACTCAATTGAGGCTGCCTGGGCCTAGTCTGGAAACTACAGGGATCTATGCACCACACAGGTCCTGCAAGGAACACCAGAGCTGGCCTCACAAGGGAGAGTTCATTGAATAGAAAGACCAGATTCCTACCTTGGCTCTTCCAGTTGCTCAGTGGTCTGCCTAGAAACATCCCCAGAAGTAAATGAAGGGGTTGGAGTACCTCTTTCCGCTTGCTTTGTCTAACTGGGTGCTAGGACCTGAGGATACCTCAATGCCCCAAAGCAATTATGTTCACACATATAACCTAATGAAGTAGCTGGGGTCTGGGTCTCCATCCTGGTCAAATTCTAGTATACTGTGATCGAGCACAAGCTAGAACCAGCATCCCAGGGCAAAGAAGGATCTGGAATTCATGTGGGCCAATCGGATATCTCCAAAACAGATGAAGCAAGGCTGTGTGTGCATTGATTCATTTATAATCTCTATTTTCCTCTGAAAGTTTCCTTCTATTTCTTTCTGTTTCATTATTTCTCTCTAAAGTCTCATGATAGTTGCAAATTTCTCTGCCTAAGTAAATTAATTGGCTCAACACAGTTAACTAGCACTTGGGAGGTTTCCCATCAGTCTGGGCAACATGGGAGCCGTCGGATATGGTAGCATTTGTCTTCACTTCAGGAACGAATGTTCCTTTGGCTTCCAACGGATATTTTAAAAGTTTGCTTTATAGACTGAACTTCTGAATAATAATACCAAAATGCCTAAAAGATTTCTTTTTTAAAAATTGTTTAAAGTATTATCTATAAATATAAGATATTCTTTATTTTGAGTCATTCCATAAAATGTCAGTTTCAAAGAGAACATTGAGAGGAGCTTATATGCCTGTCTAGAAAGGGTGGTTTCATTAAAGAAGGTGATTTATTGATGTGTCCTGGGTCTGTGTTACTACTTCAGACAACATGGGTGCTCCTGGTGATAGTTTACAACTCTCCGATGAGAACCCAAATGCCTGGCTCCAGAACAGAGTTCCTAATGGACTTAGGAAAACAGAAGCAACCTGGTAAGGTGGTGTAAACCTGTAATTTCAGCCCCTGGTAGGCTGAGGAAGGAGGATCATGAGTTTGGGACCAGCCTGGGTTACATAGTTCAGGGCCCTTTGGGACTATGTAGCAAGATTGTCTTCCAACAACAAAAAACTATTAACAAGCTAAAGATGGCCTTCTCACAGTTACCACGTTTTGGGGCCCACTAGTATTAAATCTAGATGTCTATGTAAACTAGGTAAGTAGGTAGATGAGAGACTAACTAGATGATATGTAAGTAGAAAGATAGGTGAGAAATAGACAGACAGATATATGATGATAGATAATGATAGATATCCTCACCATGGTTCATCTTCTGGACTTAATAAATGAGTTCCAAGTTTGTGAGCTTATAAATGTTCATGTATCAGTGAGTAAAGGTTAGCTTATGCTGCAACAACAAACAACCCAAGTTCTCATTAACTTCACATTGGAGAGATTTATTTCTTGCCCACACTATACTTTTTATCTGGTTGTCTGGGAACTCTTTACTGTATCCTTATAACCAGGCTGATAGAGTGGTACTATCTAGAGCATGCTTGACACAAGGAAGATGACAGATCACACCGGTTATTAATACAGCTTGAGGGTAGCATATTGTACTCACCTTCCACTGACCGAAGCACATTATATGGCTATGCTTAACTTCAGATAAGAACAAAGTAAACTGGAAATATTGGGTGCGTGACATTAATGGCTCTTACTAGTGATGTTACAGTAGGGAAGTGATCATGGTCCTTCTGTTTAATAATTTATTTCTTTACTACTTCCATTACTGACATTTTAGATAAGGACATAGAAACAGAACAAGGCCATTGAGGTCAGAAGCATTTGTGTGCTCTAAAATTCATCAACTCAAGTCCTAGAACCCCATGCAGCAGTATTAGGAAATGGGCCGTTGGATGTGATTAGGTTATGAGAGATTTATGCCCCCATAAAAGAGACTACAGAGAGCCCCTTGCCCTTTCTCCCCTGTGAGGACCCAGCAAAAACATGCCTATAAGTGAGGCAGGTAGCAGGTCCTCATCAGACACCAAACCTGCTGGAGCCTTGAACTGGGACTCCAGAGCTGTGTTTAGAAGACACCTAGTTACTGTTAGATGTCCAGGCAGTGATGTTCAATGTAGCAGCCCCGAAAGACCATTGTAGCTGGTAGTCATTGAGAGTGCTCCAAGCTGGCCAAGTTGGGGGGTCTTGCCAGTCATTGATGTGGCTGGACTTGTACCAATTTAAATGATGGAGAGATATAAATGATCAGAGAACCACTGGTGTCTTCAACCACTTGCCCACTAAAGTGTTTCCTTCTACTGTTTCTAAGGAGATGAGTATCAGGCTCAATACAGACGGTCCCCACCTTACAATAGTTGGACTTAATGACTTAAAAAAACAACAACACTACAACGGGTGTGAAAGTGACACACATCCAGTAGAAAACATACTTCCAAATGTTGAAGTAGGGTTTGATCATGCTTTCTTATCACTTAAAACCCTGGAAGGGCTTCCCCTTGCTCTAGGGATGAAAAAAAATCTCATTGTCTTCTGCTGGGCCTGAATCATCAGGCCTCAGATCCACTCTGTCTTTAAGTTCTGGGTCACGCCTTGGTTTTGTTACAGCTATAGCAGCCTCCTTTCGGTTCTGAGAGCATACCACGCCTGTGTCTTTCCTCCCTCAATCCTTCAGGCATCTGTCCTCTTCATACTGTCTACGTTCAGCTTCCGTGGCATCTCCCGGCATCATCTAAAGCAGCGACCTCCCTCATAATTTCAGCTGCTCTTCTCATGACAACTCTCTTTGCTCCTCTCTTGATGGTTTTCTTTAAATGCCCAGCATTATTAGTTATAATTTGGTTTTGCTGGCAACTTGCTATCTTAAAGAAGCAAGTTCATGATAAATCATAAACTGTACAGCAGTCAGAGCTTTTGGAGATTCTCACTGAATGATGAGGACTTGGGCATCAGGCCACTGATTGACCACAGAGTTGTTCACTGTGGCAACCTTGCCCCTGCCTGCCCCAGACGCAGTGAGCTCAGCACACACATCCCACAGCCATCCCCTGCAGTGAGCGGGTGGCATGTCACTCTCATGGCCAAGAGCATGGGCATGCCTCTCAGCTGGAGACCGAGTGGCCAGCCTCAGCCTGTATGACCCATTGTTTTTAGAGAGCGGTCAGCTGTGGGAGATTCCAATCTCTCAGGCCAGCAGGGGGCTTCTTTGCTAAGATGACACTGCCAGGAAAGTAAGAAGGCCAGAAAATACAGACAAAGAGGATAGAGGACCTGAGCCGCATGCAGTGTCCAAGGGACAGAGCCCATCTTTCTCGAGGGATGGGCTGAGGGCCTGGCTACTCCCCTGACCATACATGGCTTGGCCAAAGCTCTCTCAGAGCCACCTCTCGCCCTGCCTCTCCAGCAGTTCCAGTTGGGTGTTCCTACAATGGGAGCTACAAGCCAGTAGCCAGCGAGAAAGGAGCCTGGAGAGGTTCTTGGGAGGCTGTTGGAAATGGTGAGTGTTAGCATCTTTTCTCAGCCAAACATTTTTCTCTGTGAAACTAACTTGTAGACTTTCAAAGCTCAGGTCTCGGAATTCAATGCAGTCAAGGAGATGGGCTTTTAATTACTTTCCTTTGTGCAACATACTTAGTTTTTTAAAATCTCAGGTAATATTTTGCTGATCTCACCTTCATTTTGAGAGTAGAGGCTTCAGCTGTATTCGTTTCCCACTTGGAACAATGGTATCCTCTTTCTTATGCACTCTGCTTCCTACTATAATCTCAGCAGGCAGATCACAAACTCTCCAGGAATCTGGCTGATTTGTGGTGTGTATTTGTGACTCAATCGAGTGACATTTGTTAAATTGGGAAGGAAAACTGGAGGCATCTGTGTTTTCTTTACTAAAGGATTCTGGAAATAGTTTGGATGTTTGTCAATGGATGAACGCCTAAAGAAACTATATATGTGTATGTACATACATATATGCACACTTATATATGCATTACATGTTCCATTGTGTATATATGTTCCATTATGTGTGTATATATGTATATATACACTCCATTGTGTGTATATATATGCACATTGTATATTGTGAATTATATATGTACATGTACATTGTATATCATACATGTATATACTTTATATGTATAATGTATCTCTTACACACATCATATATGTATATGTTACATATTCAATTGTGTATGTGTGTATACACGCATACACACATACATTGTTCCTAGATGAATTTTAAAAGGAGGCAATCCACCAGGTATGATGGTTCACACCTGTAATCTTAGCTATTCTGGAGGCAGATTCAAGTGGGTGAAGTTTTTATTTCTACCCTGGGTAAGGTTAGTGAGACCCTGTCTCAAAAACAAAAGGGCTAGAGGCCTAGTTCCAGTGGTGGAATGCTTACCCAGCAAGTGCCAGCCTCTACATTCAATCCCTAGTACCACCAGGCAAAAAGGGCAAGAGATACTGCCCCTCGCCACAGCCTGGATGGAACTTATGGACATGCTAGCCAGACATAGAAGGAAAAACATGTGGAATCTCACGTGTGGAATGTAAAGATGAGGAGGGACTATGCAAAGACATTGAATTTTGGAGTTAGGAAGATCTGGGACCTAACCCTAACCACTGATAAGCTAGCAGCCTTCAGAAACCTATTTCCAGACCCAGAACATAGGGGTAACACTGCTCTCCTCATGGGAAGATTATGAGAAAGAACAGTGTCTGATTCCAGCACACGCTCAATAACTGAATCACTGCCCTCTCTCCCTCTTCCCCCACCAACAGCAAACTCACCAGCGACACTCAGCCACCAAGATGGCAAATGCCTTTGGAGTCGTTCCCTAGGCCATCACCAACAACTCAGACCAGCAGTAACAACTAACAAATATATTGTACCAATCCTGATTCTTTGAGCACTATTACTTTATCTTACACAAACTTCCGAAGTGGCTTTGCATGCTAACTCTGTGCTGTCCAGGCCTTGAAGAACAAGATACTATGCAACTTCTCGCATCCCAGAGAGTATGATAATCTGGAAGGAACTACCATAGACATTATATCCCTTGGGCTTACCCTGGAGGATAGACAGGTCAAGTTAATAGCAATAGCATCCCATTTTGAAGATGGAAAAACTGAGCCTGGAAAAATAGCTTTGCAAATGGAGACCAGAGAGGTTGAGTGACTTAGCTATTAAGAGATGGAGGTGTCTGGACTCAAACCCAGCTCAGGTGGCCCTATGCCTAGGGTTGCTTCACTCTACCCAGCTGCATCTCTGAAAGACACTGTGTCATGTTTTTCTCTCCATGAGAGCACTCTACTGTGTTTCTACAACATATGAATGTTTGCACATGCTGAAATTGGCCAAGATCTTTGTCATCCGAATGTTGATAAACAATGCATGCAATAGCCCGCTTGTTGCTTCTGCTTCTTTTCTGTCATCTCCCTGTAAAGGAAGCTTTGTCTGGGGCCTAGTGACATTAGTACCAGCATTCACTGATGACATAAGCGCTGGACAGCTGCACTCAGGGCATCACTTACCAAGTGTCCTTGTGGCGCCTCTCTGATCAGTTAGTGTAAGCACAAAGGACAGTGGTAAGGTCCTTGAGCAACAGGAGCCTGACCTAGGAGGCCCAGATGACCCTTGCTCTAACAGGCGCATGGATGAAGAGGTATACAAAACCTCTGATTCATATGCAGAAACTGCAGTTGCCTTTAAGCCTCCTCAGCCAGTGGTAGGAAGAGGCTATTACCAAGAACCTGGATATGGTGACAGCTAACCAATTATATGGACCTGGCCATCCAAGGGCATTCTGGAGACTTGGTTTCCTCCTTTGTAAAGTAAAGATGCACCCTCCCCCCTTCCAGTCCTGGTGCTTGAACTCTGGGCCTGAGTGCTGTCCTTGAGCATCATGGCTAGCACTCTACCACTTGAGCCACACCACCACTTGAGGCTTTTTCTTTTTTGCACTGGCTTCAAACCATGATCCTCAGATCTCAGCCTTCCTAGTAGCTAGGATTACTGAAGCATGCCAGGTGGATGGCCATCTTAATTGGAGGACATAATCTCCCGGCAGAGCTAGAGGGAAGTATATGCCGAAAGTGCTTCAGACACTCCCAGTTCACAGGTTTCCTCATTCAATAGTCCATCTGAACTCCAAACCACCAGTCAGTTAGCCAAAAGATGTGTGCCAGCTCTTTTGCACAGATTGAGTCTGCCTGCTCTGGAGATATTTCTCAGCTTAGATCTGGGTCACAAGGACCAAGCTTATTTGTCTGCTAGAGAAAGAGGGGGGGGGGGGAAACTAACTGTTCTCATTTGTCCATGAGATCATTTCTAATGAGTCTTTAGTCTCAATTTCTTCTTCTGTGAAGTAAAGTTTTGAGGTTTAAAATTACCTCTGTGATACTTCAGGCCTGAAATGATATCATCTACAACATGCTTTTTTTAAAATGACATATTGGAGTTTAAACTCAAGTGTGTTATGCTTGCTAAACAGGCATTCTATTACAGTCACACCTCTAGTCTTTTTTGGCACTGACTTTTTAAAAATTTGAGATAGGGTCTCTTCCTGCCCAGGCAGGATTACCTGGATTACCTCACACCTCTCTCAGGCATCTCAGCATAGCTGGGATGACAGGCATACACTATCAGGCTTAACTTCTTCCACTGAGATGGAGTCTCATACACTTTTCTGCCCAGACCTCCTGCATAGCTTGGGATCACAGGCATGACACCACACCCAGCTACTAGGTTAAAAGGGGTTTCTTGAACTTTTCTTTCTCCCCTGCACTGGCCTTGAACCATGATCCTCCTGTTTTTAGCTTCCCAAATAGCAAGGATTACAGGTGTGAGCCCAATGGTGCCTAGCCAATCTTTGATATTTTAAAACTCTTCACAAGATTCCTATTGTTAACATTTAATGTTAACATTTTGCGATTATATTGTTCCTAGAATGAAAAAAAAAAACCCTAGTCTTAGGTGGAGGCAGGGAGATCAAGAGCTGGAGGGCAGGGCAAGTTCTGCATTGTCAGAAGCTTGAGTATCACTGAGGGACTAGACAGGAACCATTAATCAAGATGGCTGAGTCCCTGTTGTTGAGAGCCTGGAAAATGGAAACAAAACCACCTCAGCCTGGGAAATTGGGGTCAGAGACTATTGCTGGCCAAGTTAGAGCGGGGTCCATTCACTGGGCCCATCCAGGTGGGAAAGAAGTAGCCTGGACAGATGTCTCAATGAGCTCAAACTGGAGTAAGGGTTAAGGACAGGAAGGAGAAAGGAGCCACCAAACTTGGTCAGGGTTTAAACAGGTAAGTAGACAACCAAGGCAGGGCATTCGCTGCTCTATGAAGCCCACCATCTTTGTTGTTGTTGTTGGCCGTGGGGCTGTCCCTGAGTTCTTTTGCTCAAGGCTAGTGCTCTACCCCTGAGCCACAGTTCCACTTCCAAAGCCCACCATCTTTAAACGCTGATTCCCCCTGTTGAGTGTGAGCCCAGGTGTGGAGGGAAGGAAGGCCGGGGTGGGTTTGCCTTCCTCACCCTTCTGACCAGTTCAGCTGCGTAGCCCAGACCCCTGTTTTAGATTCAGTAATAATAGCAGCCTGTCTCTCCAAGCGAATTCATCTGGAGAAGTGCCACCCCTGGGGGTGGAGGACTTGCTTTCTGCTTTAAGCTGAAAATACAAAGTATTTCAGAACTGTACAATTTTTCCCCCTAAACGTAGTTCTGGAGAGAATGAAACACCTTTTCGTCTCTTGCTGAAATTTTTGATGAAGTTTTTACTACCCTTATGCATGAGCACGCTTCAGGCCAGAACTTTCACTGATTGCACCCCTAATGTAGCTGTGGTTGGGGTCTTGGCAGAAGAAGGAAGGCTGACCCCTCCTTCTTCTGGGGCCAACACCAGGAGTGGAGATGAAGCCTTCTTGGGAGACCAGCACATCTTTTTGAAATACATTAGGGCCTCCAGGTTGGAGGGAGGAGTCGGGATCTCACCAACCATTCCTGAGAGTTTGAATGCTTCCTTCTCTCTTGCAGAATTTTTCCCTCAACTTCACCCTGCCCGCTAACACGGTAAGTCCAGCAGGCGATCAAGGTGGAATTTACAATGGTAGCCCTAGAACTCTACCCCACAAGCCTCGCCTTCAGTGGGAGATGAACCCAACCTGCCAGAGAAACCGGTAAAGAGTCGAGGGGTGGTGAGACAAGATTACAATTATAAAAGTAGTAAATGAACATTTTGAAGAGAAAAACAGGGGGGGAAATAACCCCAAACCCTAAGTTCCCATGAACAGAAATCATCGGTGCCTTCATTCCCTTGCTGTTCAGTTTTTCTTAACATCCATTTTGATTTTTGTTGTCTCTGCATTATTGTTTTCCTTAGTCTACATTAAATTTTATACTTTTAAGTTCTTCCATTTGGTCTTTTTTTCTTCCTCTTCTTCATTTTGTACCAGTCCTGTGGCTTTAACTTGAGGTCTCGGTGCTGTCTTCCTGGGCTGGCTTTGAACTACAATCCTTAGATCTCAGCCTTCTGAGTAGCTAGGATTACAGACAGGAGCCCCTTGCGCTTGGCTGGAATACATTCTTGACAGGGAGTGAACATCTTAAGGCTCCTGGTGACATCATTTGGAGAGAGATTTCAGTCCTTCGGACTCAGAGCCTCACTCACAGTTGCTTGCCCAGCTCCTGTTCTCAAACGATACAGAGATAGCACTAACAGCCACGGTGCCACATCAGTTGAGTTGCCTGAGTGAGGCATCGTCCTTGTTCAGTGTCTTAGTGGATTCTACGTCCAGACTTTTCTGGTAATTTCTATGCATATTGAGTGTACTTCCAGACTAGTGCTCAGGAGGATCGTATTCTAGAAAGGAGTGAAATATTAGGCCCTTCCAACTTACTGCTAAACTTCTGGTGTCAACACTGCCCACTCTGGATATCTGTGTCCTGCTCTCTGGGCATCTGCTCTACTCTCCTGGGGTCCTGTCTTTTGAACCTCTCAATTCACTATATTGCCTTGCTTTAATTTCATTGTCTGCAGACAGGTTTCCTTATCCCTCTCATCACCTGCCGAAACCTTTTCTTTGGCTGGAACTTTCTCCCTGGCTGCGGGGAGGTCATCCAGGCTTTGTTCTGACATGGTTGGATGCATTCTATTAAGGCCATGCAGAGAAGTTGTGGCTCGGGGCATGGAGGGGAGTGGGTAGAAGAACCTTAGGACATCAACGGCCATCTTCTGGAGTACTTGCTTGCACAGTTCATTGCTCTGAGAACTTTTCCATCCTTGCTTTGAGCCTGGGTGGGGTGCACCATTCTGTTTTGTCTAAGCTAGTCTGCGTTAGTCGATGTCCTGGTTATCTTCTCTCAGGGCAGTCAGTTGGTATTTCTACCACATTCCCTTCCCTGTGGCAGACTGGGTCATGCTGAACTCTAGGGAAACTAGGTTGGGTGCTGCGTCTGGCACAGGAGATAGGAACGTGGATCCTAGAGCCAGACTTTTGTAGTCTGCCATGTGGGGTTGCATGTGCCCTTCTCCTCTGAGCGGTCAAATGGGCATTGTTATCGTCACCAGCTGCTGAGAAGCACATGGGAGTCAATATAGGAAAAAGGCTAACATGCCTTGCACACAGGAGTGGTCCATAATTGTTTGCTGATGCAATTAGTAGATACTGGTGAGAGCAGCAGAAGGCTTCTGGGGAGAGATGGGAGGGAGGCGCAGGTGAAGAAGGGCACCAGTAGCAGCCGAGCAGCGGCTTCATGCACACAGGTTCCCCTTCCTACCTCTGGTCTCCAGAAAGGTCAGATGAGGATTACCTCCTCACAAGACATGTTCTTAGCCGGCGCTGGTGGCTCACGCCTGTAATCCTAGCCACTCAGGAGGCTGGGATCTGAGGATCGCGGTCCAAAGCCAGCCTGGGCAGGAAAGTCCGTGAGACTCCTATCTCCAATAAACCACTAGAAAACTGGAAGTGGTGCTGTGGCTCAAGTGGTAGAGTACTCACTTTGAGCTGAAGAGCTGAGGGACAGCGCCCAGACCCAGAGTTCAAGCCCCACGACTGACCAAAAAAGACCCAAAAAACAAAAACGAGACATGTTCTTTTGTGTTTTTTGTTTTTGTAGACTTCCCCCCCAGTTGTTACAAGTGGAAAAGAAGTGGTAAGTGGATGAACATGTACATAAACTTTTTACATCTTTATGAAGTAAATAGTAACCAATTCTAGGGAATGATTCAATATTTTAAAATCTAGCTCAACCCCAGATATGAGGATTATATAATGAGGATTAAAGTTCAGAATGTTATGGCTACAAAAGTCTTAGCCAGGGACTGGGACGGTGGCTCAGTGGTAGAGCGCTTGCCTTGCATGCATGAGGCCCTGGGTTCGATTCCTCAGCACCACATAAGCAAAAAGAAAAAAGCCGGAAGTGGCGTTGTGGCTCAAGTGGTAGAGCGCTAGCCTTGAGCTGAAGAGCTGAGGGACAGCGCCCAGGCCCAGAGTTCAGGCCCCACGACCGGACCCCCCCCCCATAAAAAAAGTCTTAGCCATCGAAGAATTCAGCTTAAGTTGTATTTAATCATTAAATAAGGTCTATACTAATACTTTGTAATTTTATATATATATATATATATATATACATATATATATATATATATATATATATAAAGTTCCCAAGTCTTGCTTTGGTTGGCTGTTAGATGAGGGTAGCAATGCTCAACCAATCTTGTGCATTTGTCTGGAAGAGTCTGATTTATGGCACCATCACCAAGCCCTGAACTTGGCTTGACAATTATTCATACAACTATCTCAGCTTGAAAGTGAGGAAGGACATGGGTTTCCTGGTGTTGAGCAAAGACAAGCCATCTGTTTTACACTGAAACACAGACAGCAGTAGAGCTCACGGTAGTGGCCCATACAGCGAGGAGGAGGCAGATGGACGCCCAGGATCGGGTCCGGCAGTGTGGCGCTCCTGGATACGAGTGTCAGCATCGCCATGCTCACTCACCATGTGGAAAGTCATCAATCTGAAATTGTGCTTCTATTATACTTTGATAAAATCATAACCCTCCCCCCCCCCCCCGCAAAAAAAAGTGAAGACGAATGCAGCTTTCCATAAGACTTGCATATTGACTGGGAAAAGCAAGTTATTTGTCATATATGTTACAAAGATGTTTTTCCACCGTATTTCATTCCTCTTCGGATTGTGTGTGTGACCCTGGGGTCTAGGTTTTGTGTTTTGTGCTTAGACACTGAATTCAGTATGTTCTCTCTGTGTGCCAGGACTGTGGGCCCTCTCTTGGAGTGGCAGCAGGCATTCCGTCCCTGGTGGCCACTGCCCTGCTGGTGGCCTTGCTGTTTACCGTGATCCACCGGCGACGACACAGGGAGCAGGCTGAGGTGAGGACCGAGTTGTGTGTGGCTGAGTGGCAGGAATGAGTATTTCAGTGCACTCGTTTGGGGGAGAATTATCTTGAAGTAGTTATATGAAGGGGTTTCAATTCAACATACCAGTTTGTGAGTGCAGTGCATCTTGATCAATATCATCCCTGGAAAAAAAAAGTGTTTTTTTTTGTTTGTTTGTTTTTTTGGGGTCTGGTCATGGGGCCTGAACTCTCGGCCTGGGCGCTGTCCCTCAGCTCTTCAGCTCAAGGCGAGCACTCTACCACTTGAGCCACAGCGCCACTTCTGGCTTTTTCTGCTTATGTGGTGCTGAGGAATCAAACCCAGGGCCTCATGCATGCAAGGCAAGCGCTCTACCACTGAGCCACCTTCCCAGCCCAATCTTCTGTATTTTAAAAGACAGGCAAAACTGTGAGGATGGCAGCAGATCCTGGCTGATGATCATCCTTACATCATATGTAAAGATGTATTGTATGCTGTACACTTCGAGCCCATTAGAAAGTGATTGTGGGTGATGGCATATATTTAGTAGTTTCTCAAACATTGGTGCAGTTTAAAATCATCCCAGAGACTAAAAATTTACCATCACCAAAAACAATTAAATTAGAATTTCTGGGTAACAAAGCTGTAATACTAATCACATATATACACACATATACTAATTATATATTATATACCTTATATATGTATGAGTAGTATATATTATATAATATATATATAGTTTGTGGTTCTGAGGGTTAAACCCAGGGTCTTATGCATGCTAGGCAAGTGCTCTCTCATTAAACTTCTCTCTAGCCCAGTAAATGAGCATTTTTATTATGGATATAGTGGTTTCCTCTTCTCCACATTCTAGGATCCCTCAGGGGAAGTCTGATACTATGGAAGTATCAAACCCCATAGATGCTGGTTTCCACTATGCACACATACCTACAATAACTTATAACTTAACCATAGGAAGAGGTTGACAAGAGTAAAATAAAACAATTCTAACAACAAACGATAGCTTTGTGAATGTGGTTTCTGCCCTACCTCTGGCATACTACAAGGTAGATACATATACGGGGGGATACACTGGGCAAAGGGATGATCACATTTCAGGTGGGATGAAGCAGAATTTCATCACATTGCTCAACATTGCTTCTGGGATTTCCCATGACCATTTCATGTTCTAGTTATCCACAAGAAACTGAAACCATGGAAAGCCAAACCATTGTGAAGGTTGCTGTAACTTAAACATATATAATACAGCCGGGCGCCAGTGGCTCACATCTGTAATCTTAGCTACTCAGGAGGCTGAGATCTGAGGACCATGGTTCAAAGCTAGCCTTGGCAGGAATCTCCACAAGACTCTCATCTCTAATAAACCACTAGAAATCCAGAAGTGGTGCTATGGCTCAAGCGGTAGAGTACTTGAGCTGAAGAGTGCAGGGACAGCGCCCAAGCCCAAAGTTCAAACCCCACGACAAAAAAAAACCCAAAACACAAAAAATATACAATACAATAGAAAGAATCAGAATAGAAATAGAGAGAAGCATACAATAGAAAAAATCTTATGGCAGACTTGATTGTCAAAGCATGCCAATCTCATTTTATCTCTACTCCCACTCACTTTCCCACAGAGTCCACCTGGTTTGTTTGTTTTTTAAAGGTAGGTGTGTGTGTGTGTGTGTGTGTGTGTGTGTGTGTGTGTGTTTGTGTGTGTGTGTGTGTTGTTTTTAAAGGTCTGGGGATTCTAGCATGCATTTAGGTTTAAAATCTACTGGTTTTAGTCATGATTATGATCACAAGCCTTTCACGTTTCATTTGTTTGTTTTTGTACTACTTTAGGACAGTGACAGACCATGTGAAATTTCTGAAATCAGTGACAATCCTAAGATATCGGAGGTGAGAACCTTTTATTCTAGTCTCTACAGTTGATTCACACAGTAACCAAACCAACGCTTTCAGAGCCTTCCATGTACAAAAAGTATAAGGTCACACCTAGAAATAAGAGGAACAAGTGAAGTTTAAAGTTCAAAGTTCAAGCTCCTCAGCGTGTGTTTATTGGACAGATAGGAATCTAGGGTTAATTTAATGCTAGAAAATCACTATACTATCATTTCTTTTACTGACAAAAAGAAAACTTGTGTGACTATTCAACCAGCTAAGAGAAGTTCAAAGCAATCATGGGAGAGTTCTTCCTATATTGCTTGTTTGACAATATGGGAAATCACATGTGAGTTGGAACTGGAGTAGGAACGTGACTTATTAAAAAAAAATCAAACATCATATCTAAGGGTAAAGTTGAAAACAATCTTAAAAAAGAACACAGAAATAAAGACATTCATCGTTCCTATTCAACATTGTACTTGATCAATACATGAGGATAAGAAAAGTAAACTGAAGGCTTTGATGTGTGGCTCTGTGGGTAGAGCTCTAGCTGATGAATGAAAGCAGCAGATAGTGAGTTCAGACCAGTCCTGATCTCAGAGGGGGAGGGGAGGGAGGGAGAGAGGGAGGGAGGGAGGGAGGGAGGAAGGAAGGAAGGAAGGAAGGAGGGAGGGAGGGAGGGAGGGAGGGAGGGAAGGAAGGAAGGAAAGAGGGAGGGAGGGAAGCAGGGAAGGAAGGAAGGAAAGAGGGAGGGAGGGAGAGAGGAATGAAGGAGGGAAGGAAGGAGACTGAGTGGCCTGCCCCCCCCCCCCCCCCCCCCCCCCCGGCACTCACGGGGCAATCGTGGCCCTCCTCACTGTTTTCCGCCCCGCAAGGCGCCTCGCCCTTCCTCATCTCTCGCCCTTCCTAATTCTGGACGCGGCCTTTCCCACGCTCCCTCGGACTGTCCTTCCGATCGATCGCTGGGGACACGGCCCGGGCGTCTGAGCTCCCTCTTGGCTGTGCCCTGCAGAATCCCCGGAGGGCAGCCCCGCCCGAGAGCCACGCCGCGGGGACGCACGAAGCCCACGTCTACGTGAAGGCCGTGTCGGGACGCGAGGAGCCCCTGCCCCCCGACAGCTACCGCCCCCCGGAAGCCCTGCAGCGGAGGCGGGGGTTGTGGTGGCTGGTGCCCCGGCTGAGCCTGGAGTGAGAGGGCCCGGGCCGAACCCCCGAGGCCCGGGTCTGGGAGGCGGAGCGCCACGTGGCTGCAGCACCGACGGGCGTTTCCTGCGCCGCTCTGGAGCCGGGCGTGGTGCGGCCGCGGCCGGCGGGGCTCGGGGCGGGCGAGCTCCCGTGCGTGCGGCTGGAGCCCCTGCCCGCCCCGCCTCTCAGCCCGCTGGGAATGTGATGTGCCCTGGGCTGCGCTGGTGTCTGAGCGGCTTGCCTTCTCCACTGCCCCCCCCCCCCCAAACCCAAAACCGCGCGCGGGGCCTGCCTTCTGCGGGACGGTAGCGCAGGACCCGGGCTGTCCGACAGTCAGACCCCCCTGCCTCTCCGGGTCCCAAGCCTGGGCCCAGGGGTGTCTCAGGGAACATCCACCGCGAGCCACCATGACATCCTGGAAAACGTGGAGTCCTCGCACGGGAACCCCACTCCACAACCCGCCCCCTCCGTCCCAGACGCTGTGGCGGGGTCCCACGGGTCACCGGTCCCTGGGTTCAGCCATCTAGGCGAGCACGTCTGTCTGTCTGTCTTAAAGCGGCTTTGCCCTGGCATGTTGGTGCCTTTACTTCTCCCACAGGCTGGGCAGGGCCCCGGGTGTGCTGAACTCGCTTTGGCTATCCAAAGTGGCATGGGCATGTCGTGGGTCATCGGCGACCTCAATGCTTTACTTATAAAATGGAGGTTTTCATCCTCCAACCCCACTCAGCGGTTTGTGAAATTGGAGGGAAATATGCATGTCAGCTGAGCCAGCGTAGTGTATGCCTGTAATCCCAGCACTCGGGAGTCAGAGGGAGGAAGATCACAAGTTCAATGCCAGCCTAGGCTATGGAGGGAGTTTCAGGCCAGCTTGTGCTCCCTAAGAAAGCCCTGTCTCAAATAAATAAAATAAAATGCAAGGCACGGATGGCTCACACCTGTAAGCTTAGCTATTCAGAAGGCTGAGTTCTGAGGTTATGGTTTGAAAGCAAACCACAAACAAACCCAAGAGACTCTTATTTCCAATTAACCACCAAAAAGTCAGAAGTGGAGCTGTGGCTGAAGTAGTAGAGCGCTAGCCTTGAGCAAAAGAACCCAGGGAGAGTCCCCAGACCCTGTGTTCAAGTCCTAGTACTGATAGAAAAAAAAAAATGAAAGAATAAAATGTTCAAGAAAAAATTACAGCCTTGTAGCCTTTCAAGTAAGGGATGATGTGTTTTGGATCCCATATTTTAATCTTCTTACAATCTATTACTTAGAATTTTTTATTTCAACTTGTTTCTACTAAACTAGAAAGTTATGTACAAAAACTTGTATGTACAAAAACTTATTTTGCAATAAAGGGAGAAGTGAAATGGCCTTCTGATAAATCTATAACATGTCCATGGCTCTCTCTGCAGAATATTAAAGGACATACAACACATTCACCCTGGGCTTAAATCCAAGATTTTTTTTAAAAAAATTATGTTTTATTGCTATTGTTGGGGTGATAAGCAGAAAGGTTACAGTCACATGAGTCAGGTACTGAGTGCAATTCTTTTTGAACCCTGTCTCCCCTTCTCTCCCTCCCTCCCAATTTTTCCCTCCCGTCCCCACCCACTTAAATCCAAGATTATCCCAGAAATATTCCTAGTACAAAGCACTTCCAGTGCTTCCTGGAGGGCAGCCCCCTGCACCAGGAAAACCAGAAGTCAGAACCCAGCGTTAACAGCCCAGGGCTCAGGGGAAGGGAAGGGTGATGATATCAAATAGGTCACCTGCTGTGTGTAGCCCCTCCTTCACTGTTGGTTAGATTGATTTGTCTCTAAGTTTGCCTCCATGCAGGTCAAATTTTCTAACCTTGTGTTTCCACAAACCTTGAAAATTGAAGCCCCCTTCCTGTCACTTCTTTCCCCTGCCCCTGCCCACATATTAGCACAGCCTCTGTATTCTGGGCTCCTCCTCACTTCTCAAGTGGATATGTCCTTTCTCCTCTAGTTCAGTGAATAACAATATATAATTTTCTTTGTGGCATCTAGTCCTGTAACATTTAACCATGAGGTACACAGCAAAACCTTGTCTCAATTCCTCCTTCTACAAATAAACCCTCTGGCTCTAACTTCTTGCTGTGTGGCACTGGGTGAGATCTTGCAATCTATGCAGATCTTGGCTTGTCATCTGTGGAATAAGGCCCTGCTCTGCTCTGCTCTGCTCTGCATCCTCCATCTACCGGGATCCTTGTGCTTGCTTCCAAACACAACCACAAGAGGGTGCTCTGCATGCGCAGGAGGAGGACTGGTGAAGACTGGGTTCTGTTAACATATTAAGTGAAAAAAGTACAGGTGCAGCTCCAGCAGAAGGCATTTGTGGAACTCCTAGTGTGACATTTTAGGATGATCTTCCAGATGAAAGCAGTGTTGGATTTGTCAAGGCTCGCTGGTGGAGGGAAGGGGAGTGCTGTGGTATTCCTCACATGGTGTGTGCCATCTTCCTTCTGTTGAAACCTCTGTATCTGGGATGACAGGCATGTGCCAAATTTGACTGAGATAGGGGGAGTGTCTCTTGACCATTCCTTAAATCATGTGTTAATCTCTGGCTCTTGTGAGTAGCCAGGATTACAGGTGTGAGCCACTGTGCCCATTTTTTTTTACAGTGTTCTCTGTTCTATGTCTGTGCTTGGGAAAAATGGCTGCTGTCAATAAGTAGATGTTGATTATGTCATGAAATATTCATCTCTACACTGTCTACATGATACTGAATGTTATACTTGGGAAACACTGGGCAGTAGACGGGCAGTAGAAAGGCACTGCACATACACACCTACATACGCATATTCCACACTCAAATTCCTGCACACACTCACATTCATGCACACATGCACCACCCAACATGCATGTATGTATGCACCCCAACTGTGTCTAGGTTCACAATACACACCTGATCCAAGAGCAACCTGTCTATTGGCTGGAGGGCAATCAGTGACCGCCTAGCCTATGGCAAACTGGTGAACCAGCCTTATCCCTCTGTCTAAAAAAATAGACCTAGGTGGTACAGGGAATGTGTACTAAGCTGGGGACAGTCTGTGGGGCTCCTGATGCTCCCCCGGGGCAGTGGCTCCCAGCTATCTCATTCAAAGTGGTGTTTGCAGTGTGTCCATCTGTGCTGTCAGTCCTGGGATTGTAGGTGTGTGTGTGTGTGTGTGTTGGTACTGGGACTTGAACTCAGGGCCTTACAATCTAGTTTGCCTTTTTTCTGCTCAGTGCTGGTGCTAATTTGAGCCATAGTGCCACCACCAGCTGGTTAATTGGAGAAAGATTCCCCTGGACTTTCCTGTTCCAGCTGGCTTTAAAACCATATCTTCAGCTCTCAGCCTTTTGAGTAGCTGGGATTAGAGGCATGAGCCACTGGTGCCTGGCTGGATTGCTGGTAATCTTTGGTCCTGGCCATATTGAAACCTGATGAGAATGTTGCTCAGATTCTAACCTCCTTCTGTACATAGTGGTTCACCTTGTCCAGGGTCTGCTCAGGACCTGCAGAGCAGATGCTCGTGAGAGAGGACTGACCATCCTCACTTCCTGCAAAGCCCACTGAGAATCCCCTGCCAGCCCTAGCACAATCTGTTGAGTAATCCTGGAAAGCAGTGTCTGGATAAGGTTGGATAAACCACAATGGGAAGAAAGCAGACGGAGAACATGGGAAAGCCCAAGCCACGGAGCCCGGGTTGCTCAGTTCTCAATGTCCGCCATCCTCCGTGGAGGCTGGGGACCTTTCCCCATCTGCTAGGCCACTTCCTTCCTTCCACGTGGCTTCTGCAAAGTTATGCTCTGGCCTTTACACCCTGCATGTGGCTGGGGTCATCAGTTTCTCCCCAACTCTTGTCAGCAGGGTCATGCAAGCAGCTGATCTTGTGGGTTTGTTTGTTTTTTTCAAAGGCATAGAGTGAGTTTGTGGCCTATGAGAGCAAACAAGAGGTCAAAATGAGATTTTTGTCTTTGTATGTGTTGGGACTGGGGCTTGAACTCAGGGCCTTGTGCTCTTGTTTGGTGTTTCTGTTCAAGCCTAGTGTTCAATCACTTGCCGCTTTTTGTTGGCTCTCAGAGTCTAGGATGGCCTTGAACTGCGATCCTCAGATCTCAGCCTCCTATACAGGCACAAGTCACCAGCACTTGGCCAGAATTAGTTAGAAGGAAATTCCAGTAGCTTCTCCCTTCCCTTAGGTGCCCTGAGATGAAGAAACGAAGGGAGGCTGTCTTCCTGGGACAGATTCCCGGGTGGTGGTTTAGGAAATAACTGTCACATCTAATAGAAAGCCATGGGATGCATCCTGAGTGTGGCCCTCTGTTCACGGTACCTAGGGACCCAGCACCATGTGGTTGGAGAGAAGCTGGCTTTGAACAAAAGCTGAGGCAAGCCAGCCATGAATCACCACCACCTCCTCCCCACAATGCTCTAGAAGGGTCCAGCATCCCTTTTGGAATTTCTGCATGCTCAAATGAAAGTTTTAGGCCCCCTCAAGATAAATCATAGCTCTTTATTCTCTAACAGTTCCATTTGTGATTAAAAATACTTACAATAATTGAGTAAAGAAAACTAAATTCCACCACTTTGTTTTCGCCTGTTTTTATTGATGAGAGGGGCACTTCTGCCACCCTGGGGCACAGTAAGCTTTGATGTGCTCCCAAGGCTCTCCAATGACATCACAGCATCTGGAAATGTTTGCAAGCTCTAGGTAGCAGTACAAGTGTCCTGTTAGAGCATAATTCCTTACCACCTCCTGTCTCCATGTCGTGTCTTTCTAGAAGCAATCTGCATTGCCACAAGACCTACAGACTTCTAAATGTGCTTAAAGCATCTCTTTTTTATTAAGATTTTTATTGTAAACATACTGTACAGAAAAGGGGTTACAGTTGCATGAGCAAGGTAATGAGTACATTTCTTATCCAGCATTGTTTTTCCCCTACCATCCCTTCCCTCCCACCTCCTCAGCTACACCCGCCCCTCCCCCCAAGCATCTTTTACTACTATGAAGCA